AATACAAATTCGTGTGGTCTTTATATCACCATAAACGCCATTGCCTCATCACCAAAACATTAGGCGTAGTAATTTTAACCAATGATGTCGTTATTCATTGACGTCATTGTATCAAATAGACGGTCTCCAATGTAAACAATTCAATTTTCCAGCCAACCTTTGTCCTGATATACGACCATAACCGCCACAGGGTAACAGTTTATTGCTTAATTAAATAATGCTTAAATATTTCTAAATAGATTTTAGTGTTTGTTCATATCTATGTTGTAATTTTCTCTCCATGTTTGAAAATGGATGTCCGGCAAAAAGAGCCGTATCAGCATCTCTGGTCTGAGTGTACTTACCATGATTTTTTTCATTGAGCAAGGAACGTGTTGAAGGTATAAACATTTCCATGAGATCTGGTACTTTTCGTATAATACGATAAGCACATAATATAGCCTGAAATAGTAATGAAACATTGAATTTATACAAAAAAATTTTTTAATTTAGATGCTAAGGACAAAAAAATCCTGCTTTGAATTTTTTTTACCTGCCTAATCATTCAAATGATTGAAATGTCACAAACCTTTTTCTTAATATAAGCATTAGATGATTTGATCATTCTCTCTATTTCTCCAGCTAAATCTCTACACATTTCAGATGAACATATTACACCCAATGTACACAAAGCTAAACTCTGTATATACTGTGTCTGATGACTTAGGTCACTGAAGAGAAAATATTTACATTAAATTATCTTCTACCATGATAGCTTTATAGGTAATTGCTCCATCTGGACTCAAAATAACCTCTTGGAAAATATAATTGTATAAACAGGAACAATTTTCACATTTATTTAATTCTTTAATTTTGTTTACCTTCAAAATTTTTTCAATGACCCTCGTTTGGCCTTAGCCTAAATAAAGAGTTTTGAAGGTCATTTTTTCAAATTTATAATATTTCAAGCTATATATATTGTCAATATATTAAAAACTTTGTTCCACCTAAAATCTAGCTTGCATACTCATACTTACTTCTTTAAAGAATTAGTCACCAGTAAATGAACATCTTGTCTTTCATCCAGTAATAACATACAACCTAAATATCCTATTCTTTTATCAGTAAATCTTGGTGATGCTATTAATTTCATACATTCTAACTGTAAATGTACAAAAGATACCATAATAGATCTATAACTCTTATAAGTTATAACCCTTCATTTCAAACTAGCTGTTCTGATGAGGATTTTAAAAGACTTAAAATTATTATCTGCAATATGAGATGAACTTATGTACGGTATTTGGAGGCAAATGAAAATAGACAATTGACTTGTTTGACTTTTTCTAAATATGATTGTATGAATTTATGCCTTGCCTCATTTCTACCACATTTGTTACACTGTAAGTACTTTATAACGATTAGTGGAATCTTGTCAAAATGTCATATTAAAGAAAGATTTGTAATCCATACAGAAGTCTCTACATATGGAGACATTAATAAAAGTTCTCACCTGTCCAAAATGAGCTGGATATCCTAGCATATGGATATAGAGTAATTTAGCTACATTACGACATCTATATGTATTGTCTTCCTCTCGAAACGATTCTCTAATAGCAGCACATTCCTTATTAACAACTGATCTCTCATCAGCTGCAGTACGAGCTGACCTTATTTCACGAATCAAATCCCTTAACCTTTTAGGTGTAGGCATGATGGACTGGAAAATGTCCCTTTTCTGTAAATAAAAAAAAAAACAGTTTGTTTACTTAATTTTTAACACATTTTTGTGACACAATTTTTTGTAACAAATAACAATTTTCCAAACCAAAGTTAATGTTAAGCTATATCACTCATTTAACAATATTTATCAAATTTGCTTTGTTTTCATGCTTCACATTTTCTATTCACATTCAACAACAGTCTAAGTAAAAAACTTAATTATACCAAACTTTCATTGTTTTTATTAGCTTTTTATTTTTAATATAGCCACTTCAATTAGGGTCTAACAACGGGCCTCATATATACATTCGCCAACCTTTTGACCTTACCTGATGATCTCTGCTTTAAACAATCAAATTCTTTCACTCTTACAAAATCCCAGTGCTGGAGAGGGCAGAAATTTTATTGTTTAAAGCAGGGATCATCAGGTAAGGTCAAAAGGTTATTTTGACAAATGTTCAAGAAGCCTGTCTTAAGACCGTAACTGAAGCGGCTACAAATTAAAAGTATCAAAAAGTACGGTATTAAAGATTCTTTAAGATATTCCTACAACATAGAATTTAGCAACACCACAAAATAGTAACCAATTCCACACATGCAATTACGTAGCACTTCAGACTAACATATTATATTATTTCACAGCTGAGACTTACAATGTAATAAAATGGAAGATTGTTAAAAACATTTACAAGAGTCCCTGCAGATTTGATGCCAACTTAAATTACCCAAGTACCAGAATTTATATTATTTAGTGCCAATATCAGAGCTCATTACATGCATGTGTGTTTTTTTATTCTTACAAAATTGAACAAGAAAAAAGTATAAATTAAAGAGATCTTTTGGAAGACTTGATGCTGGGTCATAATTGTTTGTAAAAGACAGAACCTTTGTCAATTACATAATCATATTGGATACAGAGACCTAATGATGATAACAAATACATTGACAGAAAAGATAATATATGCCAACAATGACAGATTAAAAACTACATGATATTTTTAAAAATTATAATATACTTATAGACAGAGCCGTGCTGTGCTGTAAAAGTTGGTGTAAAAAAGCAAAGAAAACAAAATTGAGAAAACAGACAAAATCAAGACTCAAGACACACTTCAAAGCATACATGCTAATTGTTATCACACAAAAACTAAATACTAGTACTAACCAAGCTGAAGACTACTAAAATTAGATAACTATAACAGTATCTTTAAAACACAAACTTTTTAGTATACATTCCACATAAACTAATCTGTTTAAGGAAAGAAATTGTTGTTACAACCAATAAGTTTGGGGTATTGATAATCCCATATCGAAAGGGCTTGCAGTTTTAGTTTATATTAGGAAATATGCTTTAATAGGTAGCAAGATCTCAAAAACGAAAGGCCTCCATTATCAAGTGCGAGTGCAACTAGCTAGCAGATAAGAAGATGCCACATAATTATAATATTGAATAAAGGGTTGATTAAGCTTAAAGTATAAATGAATTGCTCAAGTTTTAATATCTATTTTCATAACATGCAATGAAGATTCACAAAATATTTCATAATACATCAAAGAAACTCAATTTCTCTTGAATTAATTGGGTCGATTTCAAATTCATTTAAAGGATTTCTTTGACAAGGGGAAAGTTTTTCCACTTTTCAATGTATATTTTTCAATAGAGGTAAAAGCTCCTGTATACTAGAAACCACACCCCAGTTGGGAGTTTTCTTTCAAAATCTTCATATGAACATAAGTTGAGAAAATGATGATGTAGATTTAGTTCAAATTATGTATGAACTGCTAAATAATAATAACACAGTGTTGAAGACACTTTGCTAATCAGTTTAATAACATTTCTTTTAACACAGGTCATCATAAGCTACTTAAAGTCATAAGGTTGAAGTAAGCTTAATTTAAATTGAACCTTGCTCTATTTTGAAACCTCAGTGATTAAAGAGTGGTATGCTGCATTGTCAATCAATTTGGCATATATCTTCATTTATAAATTAATCACTTCTCTATATCTAGATCTATTATTATAGGCCATTCACTAATAAGTGTCATTTGTATGCCATTGCTACTGGTCAAATATTTTTCAAAAATATGGCCTACATTAAGGCTACTAAAATAAGCTCACAAAATAGCATAAAACAAGGAGTATTGCATTATTTGTTTTAGACTTTAATTACAAAGCCAATGGAAGATATTCTTAATAGAATAGATGTGAAATGTTCTTTATCATTACAAAATAAAAAGAGGGAGGGGAGGGGGCAGTTATCAATGACATCAACATCCAACCAGCAGACCACCAAACCGGTGTGCTTTTGTATTTATTCAAACCGATTTCATGGAATAAAAATGTATGTGAATAATAATAATCAAACCTTCATTCTGCTGGGAATGATATCAGTCGTAAAAAGCAGGAATTATAAGAATGCAAGACAAGAATATGCAATATTTTGATCAATCAACACATTTGTCACACAAAATGGCCTCAACCATTTCTAATAATGTTAATTCGCGTCGTCAAAGAGTTCTCTATTCATTTCGAATCAATCCAAAAAGTATTTGGTAACAATTGTCAAGATAACTCTTTCTTGATTTCTGAAATATATTGATACTGAGTTGTACATGAAAAATGCCTCTAATCAAATAATTAAGAATAATTAATGTGGCGGATAAATCTCTCCAGGTAAAAGTAGTTCAGTTCTTCCGTGGCAGGTGGCTTGACGTCACTTCCGTACAACTAAGGGACTAAACTTCATTTTCACTTCCGGCGATTGTTGCGGATGGACGTTCGTAATTTACAACTACAAAATGTCTTTTTTACGAAATCAAATGGCGAGCACGATGCCACCGAGTGCTTTGCAGCAAATGGACCTTTTAGGTGGTCAGATGGGTGGTGATGGTGGCACTGAAAGAGCAACACGATCCGTGTTTGTAGGTAAGAACCTCAAATCAGCGAGATTTTTTTTTGGTGTCTTCGTTTTGCCAATGAACCGGCGAATAATTTCTAGCAATTTAGAATATCTTTATTGGAACCAGGTGTTGGAAATAGCAACATTTGTGTTTACCTGGAGCATTATTACAGGATTTACATAAGATCTCACTGACTTATGACACATTCAACTTTTCTACTCATCTCATGATAACAATATCATTATTTAGCATCAACAAATGAAGTAGTGATTGACAGGAAATTATTTCATTAATAAACTGTTTCATTTGATGATCACATTTTGTTCAAAGAATTTTTTGTAGGAGAATTGGAATATATAAACTTAAAATTAATGTAATATCTTATCTTTTTTTGCAGGCAATATTCCATATGAAGCCACAGAAGAACAGTTGAAAGACATATTTTTACAAGCTGGGCCAGTAGTTAGTTTTAGGCTTGTGTATGATAGAGAGACTGGTAAACCCAAAGGTTATGGTTTCTGTGAATATCAGGATACTGAAACTGCTCAAAGTGCCATGAGAAATCTTAACAATCATGATTTTAATGGAAGACCATTAAGAGTAGGTGTGGCTGCTGGAGAAAACAGTAAAGATGATATGAAAATGGGTATTGCTGGACAAATGATGGAGAGTCCCTATGGTGATCCAGTGGAACCAGAAAAGGCACCTGAAGCTATTTCACAAGCTGTTGCCAGTTTGCCTCCAGAGCAGATGTTCGAGCTGATGAAGCAGATGAAATTATGTATTCAGAATAATCCAAATGAAGCTCGCAACATGCTGCTTGCTAATCCACAACTGGCTTATGCTCTCCTACAAGCCCAAATTGTCATGAAGATTGTGGACCCACAAGTGGCCTTAACTATGCTTTACAGAGAAAATGACCAGAGCACTGCACCAATACAACAGAATAATCCTCCTCAGCCAAATATGGGAATGGGCCCTGGACAACAACAAGTGGGTGCACCAAGACCTTTGATTGGTGGAGTTAATCCTCAAATGGGTGGACCTGGGCCTCAGATGGGTGGCCCAAGACCATTGATGGGCGGCCCTGGTCCTCAAATGAGTGGAACAGGACCACAGCTGGGAGGACCTGGTCCGCAAATGGGTGGTCCTAGACCATTGATGGGCGGAGTTAATCCATCCAATGGGTGGCACTGGGCCTCAAATGGGTAGAGGACCACCAGGACCTGGAATGATGCCAGATATGAGAGGACCCCCAACTTCACGATCAGATGCCGGAGGCCAATTCCCAAATCAAATGGAATCATTAGATCCAAGAATGATGAGTGATAGAAACATGCCCAATAGGTCTATGGCATCCAGTATGCCCAATTCAGGTGGCATGCAACCAAATACTGGAGGCATCCCTGGACTTGGAGGAATGTCAGGAGGTGCCATGCCCAACTTAGCTGGTCTAGCAAACCTTACTTCTGGGTCAGGGACTCAAATTTCATCACAAGACCAAGAAAAGGCTGCACTGATTATGCAGGTTCTGCAATTGACTGATCAGCAGATAGCAATTTTACCTCCGGAGCAAAGACAGAGTATTCTTATTCTAAAAGATCAAATTGCGAAATCTGCCCAGTAAATTCTAATAACTGTAGTTTTTGTAAATCATACTCTGTATTTCTTGATCATTGAATATTGAATCATTGTTAATATGCATTTGTTTACAGTGTTTATTAAATTACTTCATTATTTTTGTTTTTTCTCACTGGACGATATTGATTTCAGTTAAAATGAAACTGATATTAATTCGGATTATGTTCCCCGTTCAATTAGTGTTCCAACAAGTGGATAGATTTTATTGCTGCTGAAAGTGGCTTTAAACCACCAATGTGAATGGATCAAAATTTGACAATCTTCTCTAGTATGCACCTAAAGTGACATTTCCAGTATTTATTATTAATGGAAAGAACTCAACTTTGATAAATGAAAAACAAATATATTTAACATCACATTTGTAAACAAAACAATTATTTTCACTTATATCAACTTTTTTTTAAATCCAGTATTATTAGACACCTCTGTCAAAATGTCCACAAATACACAAAAACCATTCATAATACCATTAAATAGTAATAGCTTTTCTCTAGCCTAAGAATTTCTTAGTCACATACATGTATATTCAAAATGGTTGTTGTTTTCTATGCTCAGAACATATGCCATATCTATTTGAAGAAGGGTTCATCTGTACTGCATAATTCACTGTCAGGAAGAACTTATTTTGAATTCTTTCATTCTTTGAAAACTGCTTCACGTGGTATATAGATATTAACTATCTCATCTACTGCTTTCTCAATAGTTGGATATTCAAATTTAAAACCAGATTCTAATGTTCTTTTTGGCATAACATTCTGTCCTTCCAAAATAACTTTGGCCCTCTCCGGTCCGAAAATTGTATTCATGGCAAACGCTGGAGTAGGAAAAAAAGCAGGCTTGTGCATAGCTTTAGCATAAGCTTTTACAAACTGAGCATAAGTGGTAGCCTCAGGGGCCACTCCATTTAAAATCCCTGATACATTGTCATTTTGTATGGCATGATCAAAGATGCCTGCGATATCACTAAGGTGTATCCATGGTAACCATTGTTTTCCACTGCCTATCACGCCTCCTAGACCCATTTTAAATGGCAAGCGAATATTATCTATCATTCCACCATTTCTTCCAAGTACAACACCTACAATAGCAAGTAAAATATATTAACTTAACTGGGAATTTAACATCCTACCCTGTTCCTCCTGACAGGGCTAATGAAGAAAAGAAAGAAACAACTATATTTTTCAAGGATAACAACTTAGGTTCACAAATAATCCTTTCTACCAGCTGGTTCTTTTCCCTAACTTCTTGACATTGATCTTGAATGAGATTGGTTGACTGGAACCTATTCAAGGTCATTGTACATTCACATCGACCGAGATTAGAACCCCCAACCACCATTTGTTCTATATAACCAATTGAAATCATGTAAAGAACAGATGATGTATGTGCAATGTCAAAACATTAACAAAATCCAGAATGATCCAGCAGCATACCTGATCTGACAGTAACTTGTCTAACACTAACAGAATCCGGTAAATTACTAGCAGCTTCCCAATCCTTGGTTAATTTAGATAAAAAATCATATTCTTCACATTTATTATCTTCATCATATACTTTATTTTCATCTGGTGGATAATAAGCTTTAAAATATATATAAAAAATACATTTAGGTTACTGGTAATATAAATATGATTAATTCTGGATATTGGAAAAATAATGCACCTCTTGTAAATTTGGTGTGGGTGCCATAGTTTGAATCCTCAAGGTAAAAATTTCTTATCAATGGCCCAGTGACGGCTTTTCAACCCCTATCACCACACCCGCTTAGAATTTTGAGCTGAGTAGAATCAAAATGTAAATGTCTGAAGGAATCTCAATAATTTTAATGGTTCATAGTAAACAGATATTATTCCGTGCAATACATACCAACACCAGACATAGTGACAAAAACTTGTGGTTTCTTCTCGGCCTTAACAATGGCATCAGCTAACTTCTTAGTAGTATCTATTCTACTTCTTCTTACTTCTTCTTTAAAATCTTCAGAAAATCTACAAAAATTATGTCACAATTCAATTTACGCCTCAATATTTATCATAAATTTTAAAATTGTAAACTAATTGAAAATAAAACGATATTTTGTCTGATTAACAGCAAAGCTATAACAAAAAGGAGCACATCAAAATTACCTTTTCAGTGGATTGAGAATATTTTCACCTGAGAGATTGACAACTGCAATACAGTTCTCAGGCAAACCTCGTCTTTCCAAATCATTCTAAAAGGTAAAAAATATAAGAGGTATAACAATGGTTATAAACCTTTACCTACAGCTCTAGGGCTTCATATTCATGTTTTGAGTCTTCCTATGCTTTATACGGAAGTCAACTGTCATAATGAGGAGTTTGTATCCAAAACACCTGTCAACAGCACGAGATGAGCTTTTGTCTAATATACATCATTGTATTAATCTTCCATGACCACATTAAAAGTAAATTTTACCCAAGTTATTCTCTTTTCTCCAGAACTTCTAGAAACCAGTATTGAATTGATGTTATGTTTCATACGTAAATGTTTGACTAGTTCTTTACCAATAAATCCACTACCTCCTCCTGTGCAAAAAAAAAAAAAGATTTTATTAGGATGTACACATTGTATGAGATGTAGCCAACATTGATAAAAAAAATTTCAGGATTATAATTTAATGAATTTGAATAAAAATAGTCTTGTAGGACTGCATATGTCTGTCCATTCATAAAATGCTACATCTGTCCACTTCCTTCCCTTCATGATTGTAAGCTGACACATGCTTTTCACTTCCAGTCATTTCCATTGAACTTATCTTTGACTTTATTATTTCAAAGTGCTCTACTATATGCTGAATAGCCATATATAATAAAATAAAATATATGAAGTTTTACGTGGTAATCAAAATATAGGGACCTAGCTGGAGTCAGTGATACTTTTATTTTTGAGCCTTTGGGGAAGCAACATCCAACACTGAGGGACTGACACTACACAACTTAGCCAGTGCAGTAAGAGTCAGTACCGGTACACTCAATAGCCCATATGAGTCCATGTACCCGAAGACTACATACCAATAAGGACATTGAAGTAGGCATTTGCCTTAAGTGCAGGATTCATGATTAGTATTTATTATGCAGCACTGGGCATTAGATACCCTGAGCCTACAGGTAGAACTGTCCTTTCATAACATTCACTGTTTTAGTCTTTTCTACGCATGCTCCAAAATCGACCTTCACCTCAAAATCAAAACTTCCGGTTTAGTAAACAGGACGGCCATGAAAATGAAATATTGATGTTTATCATATCAAAGTAAGAGAATATATGACAAAAACTTTGAGACATTTTTTTTTCAAATTGTGTCACCTTTCCTTTACCAGTGTAAGAAACGGGTGTATATTTTACAGGTAGTGAAGGCAGTGAGATTTTACTGACAAATATGTCAGCCATTTTTTTTATGCCAACTCTCTAGGATAGGATGTAATATGAATGAATCAAAACAACTCGAGGCTAGGCGAAATTAAAGATGTACCGGTAATGAAAAGGTTTAAGATGTTGATCTTTATACAACGTTTAAGAAACCAACATATAACTGTACACTGTGTGAGAAAGTCTCTGATATTACTAAAGCCATGGGTATTAGGCCTAAAGTGACAAAGTGAGATTTTTCATTCTGTCAAATCATGCATGTATCATTTCAAAATTTAATTTAATTGCTACTCATTTCCTTTAGAATGTCTGAGGCCCATAGACTTGAATGTTCGCAAGGGCAAGTAATAATCTGCGTATAGTGTATTGTTGTAGTAATGGAAGTGTTTGGGTTTTATTCAGAAGCCTGGTGTGGAATGAAATATATAAGTTTTGAAATGATATAGTCATCCTATGCACTCAATAATAACTTATAAAGGTTTGATCGACTAACTTAATGAAATGATATCATAGGTTATATGATTGCAGACAGTTCCTGTGATGACACCATATCACCCCAATATCACATACCTGGCATTAATACCAACAACACTAAATAGGTTTATTCTTGTGCATTTCAGTTGCTCTACCAGTATTAACAAGTTATGCCAGCTATATCACTAGAAAGAGTACCGTTACCTAGTCTTCAAACCTATACCTCTATTTCTGTCATATTGTTGGCATGCTGTTTATTCTATGCTCACCAAACTGTCACCAATGAAGATGCAATTCTGGGAGTGGCAAACAATGCTGACCTCAAGATGATATGGAGTGAGATGGAAAGCAAAGACACTCCCACACCTCAGGAAGATTTGGCAGCTTTCCTGAAGGAAGATGTGAATTTGACAGAATCCACAGAGCCACCTGATCAGAGCAGTAAAGAATATAATGAAAATACTAGAGTGCCTTTAGATGATGAAGATTCTACGCTAAAGTTCCCTGAAGAAAATCTCAATATTACTTTGCCTTATGATGACTATATGTGGAACATGATTTTTGTGTTAACTACCGAAGTCTGGTGTGTTTGGGTAAGTTTGATTAGGTTAAAACTGTATTCAAATTGCCATTTTTTGAAATTTGGTTTATGGTCAAATGATGACAAAATTGAAGGGAATGGAGAAACTAATCTTTGAATTTTTGTTATGGTCAAGGTTTCTTCATCAGTCAATTGTTGATTTAATGTTCAAAACATCCAATTCAGAGAATCCTTATACCTAATAATATTGTAAATTTGATTATATTTTCATTTTGTAGACTCTTGTCAATACAACCTATTGTATATTGATATTATTAGCCAAGGGTATACAGAAAATCATATTTGGTGAATTGAGAGTTAGTGAACAACAGGTAATGATATATTGGGTTTGTGGGTTTTTTTTTTTAAATAAGATGTTAAAGGATTTTTTTAGCTAAGCTTTTCAGTAATAGTGTTCACAGCTCACCATCAAAATTTGAGCCTTTAAATCCAAGTGTGTATAGAATTATTCATGTTTGAAAGTTAACTCATCTTTTTGTGAGACTCTGCTATATATATAGAAAAGACATATAGAAATAGAAAGTAAACTTTCTAGTTTGAGGTATATTTGAAGGGATTTCTTTCATACATTTCTAGTACTTCTGAAGACTATTTACATATATTCAAGACCAAAATCAACCACCAACAATGGTGAACCTTGGCCTTTTAGCTAATTTAAACCAGCAAAATAATTTAAGTGATATTTGATGTCCTTATTTTTGTGAAATGTTTTTATATTTTCAGCATTTAAAAGACAAGTTTTGGAATTTCGTATTTTATAAGTTTATATTTATATTTGGTGTTATGAATGTACAGACTATGGAAGAAGTAGTACTGTGGGTTGCTTGGTTCTCTTCACTTGGCTTTTTCCATCTCATGACTCAGTTGTCTAAAGATAGATTTGAATATGTAAGTATTTAGTTCAAACATTGCTGACTATGAAGTGTGTTATTGTCAAAAACTCTAGGCAATGTATATGAAAAAATGTCCAATTTTAAAATTTTTAATGTCATATTTTGTGTTTTGTTCTTTACAGTTGTCATTCTCTCCTACTACATCAAGAGCATCTCATATCAAGTTATTATTATTATTATCTATTGTTCTAATATCATGTGGAGGTCTGATGGCTGTATGTATTTACACTGGTTTTAATGCTGGATTAACTATATTCTCATTTATGGCAGCAGAGGTAAGTTATTGCAAGCGATAGACAAGGATTCTCAAGCTACAGATTTTTAAAATCTAAAATTATAGTCAACAATTTTTAATGGAGGAATAAATTCTTGGTTATTTTAAGCTGGTCTGCACTAAGCATGATTAAATACCAAAAAGGAATACTTTGAACATATACAACATTGATATTGTGACGTTGAAAGGATTAGGGCTTTCCATTCGCGACCTTCCAATTAATTAAAAAAAAAAAAAACAGCCTGTCAATCTTGACTTGGGAACCTCTATTAAAAATGTCAAAAAAATTTTGTCACTATATATAGTGTGCACTTCCAGTATATCAAGCTTTTTTAGGTTAAAAAAAAACTAAATTTAAGAATTCTGAATTTAACAGTGTTAGATATACTGATTTAAGTAATATATTGATTTAAATTTCAGTGTATACTGTTAAGTATAAGGACTTTATATGTTCTTGTAAGGTAAGTTTTATATAATACTATTTTGACCTATTGTAATTTTCACCTGTTGATAATGATATGCGCATCTGTGTTTTTAAAAAAACTATCTCGTGGGGGTAAAAAAGTCTTAATTGTATTAACTATGGGTATTTTTGGTGAAAGTTTTGTACAATAATGGTGACAATGTGGCTTAATTTGTTCTGGATAAATTTCAGTGACCTGTTAGTAAAGAATTGATCAGAAACTTGACGAAAAAAATTTTGGGTCATTTACAGACAGTTTCTCTTTAAGCTTCTAGCCTAATAAATGACTTTGAGTACATGATCATTTTGGTTTATAATTGTATTGGTTCCATGCATTAATTACAGGTATTTCATTCATCTGTATGATATGAATATGGAAGGTGTATGGGAAAATAGATCTACCTATGTATATTTTACTGAACTGGTATTTGAATTAGCAGCACTCTCTGTTGATTTCTCACACCATCTTCATATGTTGGTAAGTAGCACTCACCATTTAGAAGGATTTCTTTTGTTATGTGTAGGGAACATTTATGGCTTCTATTTGCATTATTTAAGTTTTGTCAGATGTCTCAATGTGATCCATGTAAATATAGAAAAGCTTAACTATTTTATGACATTACTATCTTAAAAGCTGATATTTAGTTTATAAGGGACACTGATAGCATTGATTTTCCTATTTCAATTGTAAATGGTTATTGCACTTGGTTATTATTTGCATCCTTTTTTCCACCTAGGAAAGATTTGCTGCCAAACAACTTGTTAAGCTACTCAGTTGGTTCAATCAACTTGATTCACTAATTAATTTATTTTTGCAGCTCTGGGGTAATATTTTCCTCAGTATGGCTAGTTTAGTGATCTGTATGCAGTTACGTTACTTGTTCTATGAGTTCCAGAGAAGAATTAAAAGACATAAGAATTATCTGAGAGTTGTGAAAAATATGGACGCCAAGTAAGTGAAAAATATAAAGATAATCACTGGCATATTGAATTATGTTCTTTACATTTTCTAACGTAAATAATTTTTTTTTTTTTTTCTGCTGCCATTGATGTATGTGCTTGATTACCAAAGGGAGGTAATGTGCATCTTTAGTTTTTAAACAGTAAAAAAAAATCTACTGATGCATCCCCCTGTGTGACTGTATACAAATTCTTATTTTTAACATGATCACCCTTTGTTTTTTTTTGGTAATTTTTGCAGATTTCCTATGGCAACAGTTGAGGAATTAGAAAAGAATGCAGATAATTGTGCTATTTGTTGGGAAAAAATGGATGCTGCTCGAAAATTACCATGTGGTCACCTCTTTCACAAGTAAGCTCTAATTTTTTGGAATATTTCATAATTTTTTTCATTAAATGTGAAATTATCTTGTGCTCAGTCTGTAGATCATCAATCGTTCATGAAAGTCTTTTTTGATTGATTTTGTTTATGCTACATTGGAGGTATGAGAACACTTCTGTTTGGCTAGCAACCATGGAATCAATGGTTATTTTTATGTGTTTCAGTGCTTGTTTGAGATCATCATTAGAACAAGATACAGCCTGTCCAACATGTCGAATGTCTTTGGGTGATGATCAACCTCATGGTAGAGATGGTGCTATACCATTACCAAACCCTAACCCAAATAATGAAAATCAAGCACAAAATCAAGCTAATAATCAAGCATTGGTTAACCACTTCTTTCATTTTGATGGTAAGTTAATGCCCCCTATTATTAGTTCTTTTACTGGACAAATGCTGCCTATTTCGTCATAACTATGTGAATAAAGCAAAAAAAATGTTCCTAATTTGAGATGACTGGCAATTACAACCAATTCGATATCCCTTATCAGTATTTTTCAGGTAATGGTATGATTCATGATTGGCTGCTATAAAAAGCTTGTAGCACCACTAGAACATTACAGCAGTTGATACCTTGTTAGATTATAATGGAGAAGAAAAATATCAGAATTCAGACTATCCTAGTACTATGATTCTCAATGTCTGAATGTATAAAAGTATTAATTATTACTATAGGTTCTCGCTATGTTAGCTGGTTACCAAGTTTCTCAGTAGAAGTAACACATACCAGTTTACTACCTGGTCAACAACAACCACATATACAAACTTCACAGTTAGATAATATGGTAAGACTTTCATTCCTCTAAATTACTTACATATTATAGTTTACTTCACATACCAAGTTGTATCATAGAAACAAGATCAAAATAGTTAATATTGTCAAAAAATCTTGAATCCTTTCAACAATAGCGGTCTTTCTACCAGTTACATACCTGGCATAGGTCGAGATAATACTTGAAAGTCAAATTTTTCAACCCAGGTTTCCCCCTGTCAGTGATGCAGGTAAGAGGGACTGACATGGAAAAAGCGTCTTGTTCTTCTGATGGGACAATAAACCGAGGTCCTGTGTGCTACAACAGAAATCAAAAAAAGAGCAGGCTGATGCCACTCTCCTGGCAAATTTTCCCTCATTCCACACTGCATAGTGTTGCCTGTCTTCATTTGCCCACATGGTGCAGAAAAGTAAGACATTTTCTACCAATTACATAATTGTGTAGCAGCCGGCAAAACCAAGTAACATCTCATAAAATACACTTTAAGTCATATTTCTGAGGATCTATGATGTATCATATACTTCAAAAGATATTTGTAAAAAAAGCCTTGCAGTCATTTTTTGTATATTCACTTAAAACATCTTACCAAACCAGTAATTTTGTACTGGTGAGCACTATGCAGTTGTCTTGAGGATGTCTTGATTGTGTAAGGAGTAGTTAGAACAGTAATAGTAAGATGTTTATATTTTATTCAGGCTAGACAAGTACAGAATGTGTTCCCTACTATGCCACTACCTACTATTATAGATGATTTACGTACTACTAGATCAGTAGATTTAACTATAGATAATATATTAGAAGGCAGACTTGTAGCTCCACCTGTAAGTTATGGACCTTTATTCTTATCTGTGAGCTTTATAACAGTAATAAAGCGCAATCCTAGCTAACCCTCTCACTTTTCAAAATTAAAGTACTACATCAGGTTACTCTGCAATTAAATGAATGCACACTATGGAGGTGCCAATTTTTGCCACTATTGAGGTGATTTACCTACAAAGTTAGTTCCAATATTATGATATGTGGAATTTGCATTGGAAGACGTTTTTACCCTTTGAATTTGTTCAAAATATATTTCATGCTCTAAAAATTATTTTTTGTATTAACAATATGAAACTCTGACGGTTAAAGTCTCGGCATGTATGTTCATTCAATGTTGTCGTATTTTAGTCAACATCTCTAAGTTTGAGAACAGATTCCAGTGAAGCACAAGGTCTTGATTCCATTCCAGTCATGTCCGAGGTAATGGTGTTTTAGCTAAGATTCCTTGATCTCATCTAATCTTGATGTTTCATTATTTACCCATTTCATTGATAATTCATCCTTTATGAGTGGTGCTGCCTTATAAAGACACGTGTAAGAGACCTTTACTGGCCATTAAGGCGAAAGAAAGATCTAACTTAGAATTCATTCATTATTGTGTCTTGTGATATCACAAAATGTAAGGGAATTATGTTTGTTCAGTAACTTGCTATCCTGGTAAAATTTTCCTCATTGCACACTGCAACTGCAGTCATTACAACCAGAAACTGGGATGTAAATCTCATTTCATGTCATTTCTTACAGCCTACAACCACTACAACAACAACAGTTCAATCTTCTAACTTTCCTTCAACAAGCAACTTACAGCAACCAGAAGATCTCTTAAACTTTCTGACAATAGACAGTATGGAGAATGAGTTTATAGATGATGATGAGGATGATGATGATGATATGATGGCTGAGAGTTATCTCCCCAGTTCTGTGTCTGCTACTAATGAAATATCACTGTAAGTATTAAGATATAAACCTTTGAAATATTCAATTTCCAAAGTAAAGCTGGTAGTGTTGCTTTGCTCATATGCCGAGGGTTCATCCCCTTAACCAGTTGTCCTGATGGGGATATTTTATCCAAAACATGTCACCGGCATTAAGAGATCCTCAATCATTCAATCATAAAGCTTTGAGGTAAGTGCAGAATTTAAACACTTGGAAGATACCACAGCATGCTACGCACAAATTATTTAAAATATCTGGCGTCCAAGTTTTTAAGCAGGTATATTCTACATGAGAGCTTGGATTAAGAATAGTTTATTGAAGTATAGTTAGTCCAGTGAGGCTGATTTATATTAAGACCTGTGAAATCTTTTTTTTTCAATTATAGAGATGATGGTAGTACTTCATTACATACATCTGGTGGAAGATTTTCAAAATCATCTCAAGAAAGAATGGATATGTTAAATATAAGAAAAAATAATATGTTGGCACACGCAAGAAGGTAAATTATTTTTAGTTAAACCTTATCTATGAAGATGAAATACAGTTTTCCTAAATTGACTAATTTAGAGGTCACCATGCTGATAAAGTTTTAAAGGTTTAGATGGCTGCTTACTACTAGACCTACAAGGTGCAAGAGTCCAAGTTTTTCTAATGAAGTTATTTCTATTGCAGGCGTTACCTCTCAAAAACAACTGGTACCACAGATACTACTGATAGTACCATTGAACCACCACATACAGCAGAGTTTGATACCACATCAGATAACCCACAAAGACACCAGATATTACAAGCCACTCAGAGACGTTTACATCAGGACATACCTTACCACGATCACACCAGTTAACTTTTTATATCACCAACAAGGTAATATTTCTGGGCTCATTTAAATCACTGTTAGCAGGGTTCAGGTTAGAGCTGTTTCAGACAGTTTCACTGCCAAACTATTTGGTTTGCAACTTCTAACTAATTGTCATCATGAGTATGAAGAAATCCTCTAAACTTGGGCAGGACAGTCAAATTTTGAGCTTTTTCGAACTAAAATTACAGACATTTGAGGTGGATATAACAAGGAAAATTAACTAAAAAATTAAAAGATCAAAAGGTGAGCTGTGGTTGCTTCAGTAAGGTTTCAACTCAATTTTTCGAAAATTTTCTTGTGAGAACTCTCTAGGACTCTCCATGAGATGCCTGCAGCTATGACATCTCCACAGAGTTGCCGCATTGTCTAAAAGGTGGCCACCCCTTTGAGTATGTCTGTGATCTATTGTACCCCCAGTCTCTTAACTAATCCATGCAACTTAGCGGTTTCAAATTCACTGTTGCTGAGAGCTGGAATGAATTACACACATTATTGCATTATTGGTAATCCATCATTTCATGTTGAAAAATACGCCAATTTTAGTTGTCATGAATTTAACCTGGTTATTGTGTTATGATTTATTTCTTGTCGAACTGAATTAATGCTTTAATATTGAATGAAAGAGATTTTTATTTAGATATCAAAGAACCTATGATAGAACTATTTACTATAATCCTGTTTCTATTAATAATATATTACATTTTCAAATTATATTGATATTTAAAGGATTGTAAAGAGGTTTTCTAAACTCTTATGTATATCAGGGACACTGATAGCATTTGCATCATTCTAATTTTCAATCGAATGTTTGCAGTTCCTGCAATTCCACTAAAACTAAGCTTCTTATGACGTCAATATCGCAAAGTGCCTTATATGATATAAGCAAATTTTGCAATGGTGACGTCATCATTAGTTTTTGTAGAGTTGCAGGAACCACAAGCATTTGACTCAAAATCAGACTGGTGCAGAATTTACAAGTTTAGAAACCTCTTTACAAAGAAATGATCAGTGGAATGCAAGGATGCACTTTATCCTATTCATAGCCCATTGAATAAATCATATCATTTTGCTTTTGATTTCTTTTTTTGTGATAATTTCTTTTGTGATATACTTTGCATATTTTCCAGTCATGTTTATATTGGGAATATTTTTGGAGAATTTTGATTCTATTTTCTTTGAAGTTTGTTATTATATTTATGTTCTCTTGTCTTTGGAAGTGTATAACAGTAATTGAGTAAATTGTATATATCTATTTTAAGGTAATGTAACTAACTTAACAACTTTGACTCTATTCCACAGTTTTTAATCAAGATTCAAATGTTAGGATAAGGGTTTAGGTATTAATACACCTACATCTTAGGGCCCTGATTACCAACACCCCCGAAGGTACCCAAGAGGTATTATTGAAATATCTTGACAATGTCTATAACTTTGAAGTAAATAAATCCATAATCGGTCATATAAGAAATATTAAAACAGAACCTGAAACATGTTGTTACAAAGAAATTCATGGTTGCCATCTTCAGACTGATCCCTAAGGAAATTTGATGAGTTCTTGTGTCTGCACTTCAAGACAAGTTCAGATCTGTTTCTATTGTAATATTTTTATATCGCTCTACAATTGATGTATTGAGCACTATTTAATCAGTGAAAATATTTTATTATGTAAGACATATTATCAATAATATTACTAAATTTGTATTTATTAAAAACGAGACTTAATTGATTTGAAGTAAATGTTTTGTTTTGTATGATTTAAATCCTAAAATAACTTTATGAAAAGAAAAGTGTATATTCATTTAGTCAGTTGACAGTGTCCCTTTAACATAAAAAAATATATTCTGCTTTGTGTTTTTCAGTGCCGATTTTTCATCCTATTTTCCTAAAGCTAAGAATGTTTAAGGAATTGCATGGTGCATTAAAAGCATAATATTTCTAAATTATTTTCATTTCTATTTCAAATCATAAAAAAAGCATGTATTTTTTCTAGTCCAATTTTAACCTTTTGACATCTTGAAAATTATAAAAAAAATATATATTCAAACTTGTTTTGAGATATTTGATAGGATAGGCTCCACCTTGAAGATAATGCTTTAGATATGTGTGTTAATACATATATGTCCTTGAAATTATCAAATTGTAAAGAAAAAGTTAAGAAAAAGATATAGAATTCTAACCAAATGAAGTTTTTGTATGCATGTAGATAGACCATTCTACATGATTTTAATTACTTTGAATGCTGATATTGATTCTTGAGGTTCGAGAATTTGTTCAATTCCTCAAAATACAACAATCAGAATTTTTTGTTTGATGTCGAATTGAGCGACTTTTTTGCCATTAATCTTAGTACTGTCCTCAAATCAATCTAGGATGGCTACTATTTGTATTAATCTCTTAATTATTACTATGAGGGTTTTATACTGAATCAAGCACAACTCTCCGTCTTCACAATGTCAAACTGCTTAATACCTTGACTTCATTAGGCTCATCTTGCATTACGGAAGTTAGTAACTGCAGCGATTTGATTGGATTGTACTCCACTGAATACAGTCAATCTAACCCTCGACGGAAAGTTTGTAAACAATAATAGTTATAACATTTACAGTCTTTCTGTCCAGGGCTCTGATTGGCTGTATTTGGTAGCATACAATTCAATCAGCTTGCTGCATTCTGTAATACAAGAAAAGGTAGCTATTGCGGTCAAGGTATTAGATGCAGTTCGTGATAGCTTGACATTATGGAGATAACCTTTTCCACACTGTATGTTTTGTATATACTTATATTGTATAAATATTTTTGTATATTAATTGTATAAAGATGAATATTACTAATTTGTGTTGAAGAAAAAATGATAGGGCAAATTACTACAGTGCTTTGAATTCATTTAATTATGATATTAATTACGTTTCATATTTGGTTAGTTAGATTTGAATTTTTTTTATAAATATAACAGTTTTAAAAGCTTAAATAAAAGGTTCCATAAGATTTTTGATTAAATTGATTATGACCCTTATTCTCAAACTTTAATCATGGTATTTAGTTTTCATTTGTTAAATATTTATTTGAATTCGGATGAAGATTTTGTTATATATCTGTTTTGGGTGGTGTTTCCGGTACCATATTTGTAAAACTACATTTTTGTTGTCTTGTCAAGAATCATATATCAATGCAATTAACATTTTTCGATCATGTTGCGCATGTAACTGTATCTTATGAAATAAAAAATAATGGTTTCTGCCTTATGTTTATTTTCTACGAATGCTCAAGTATTTATCAGATTGCTTTCAAAACTAATCTATCCCTGATGTTTTTGTACATACCATGAATTCATAATTATGTATAGCTTATAGTATATTTATCTAGTCACTACCACTAATGCTTAAAAAACTTTTAATTGTTTCTCAATAAAACCTGATTCTCAGTTTGTCTACAAATAAAGCATAGTATAAAATGAAATGAAATTTAACTTTTGGAGCAAATTGTCACTGGTTGTCTAGCAAATGACAACAGGCCTGCATAGTTGAAAAATACGAAATAATTTTTCAGCAAATGAAAGCATTTTGTGCAGAGTTTTAGCAACTTCTCGTTACATGAGAAAAAATTATCATGTGCTTTATTTGTCGATTACAAACAATCAGTTGTTTTGTGTTTTGTTATTGCCCCTTCCCATTACAAAAAAAGAAATGAAATACATAACAAATTTATTCTAAATACATGTACATGATTGGAATTTGAAGTTGACAACCCTCTTTCGCTCAGATGAAATCCATAATTCACAGTATAGTTCTTTGATGAAAATTTTTAAGAATATCTGAAAAATACAAACAATATTGTCAGATATTTGTAAAGAAAAGAAGTAATTTTGGATATTTTTCACTGATTATTTAAGCCATTATGACATAAACAGTCAGTCAAAGGAACAGACTGCTCTTTGAAAATTGTGTGTAATGTTTCTGGCTATTTTCTTTCAATGAGCACAAAATTTGCCAGGACAGCAGTATTTATCTATCTCTTTCATGGAGTCAGCACAAAGTGCCTTGGTTTATTGTCCCTTGACACTTTTTCCACTTCAGTCTCTCTTTCAGTCCTTCATGAGTGTGGCCATTACTTTCATCAATGTAGCTTTATTGTCTTACTGGACATCCTTAAAAATTACAAGACAAAACACTCTTACCAAAATAATTTAACCAATAAAGTTAACAACAACTAAATGAAGAATAACATGGGCAAAAACAAAGTCAGCAAAAGCTCTTTCAGGACTGATACCAGAGAAATCTGATTTATTCAATGGATTTACTTGTAATCTTAGACAAACTGAAAAAAATTGAAAAATTTTCATTATAATTATATTGTGGAAGAAAGGACTGCTGATGATAATCAACATTGGTTTAATACGAGACCGAGAGTGCATGATCGTCCTAGCACAGCATTAAATGGTTTCAGCAAATCCAAATGTCTTGGCAACAGCCAACTAGAAATGATGCAGACAGAGCAAGAGGAATCTCCAGCCCCAGGAATGAGGGGTGTTCTCCGGAGCAGAAAATGTTGAAATCTTAAATTAATCAAATTAATGTTTGTTAGTGCACAATTTCTTCAATTGACCAAAGGAAATGCTCTTCTTTGTTTCAATGTTCCTCTCTGGTGCTGTGTTCCTTCACAGAGCCAGAAAAATCTTAGCAAACTCTTCAAATGGAAAGAGATTAAGATTACCTCCTAATACAAAGGTTCCTACTGTTGAAATAAAACCAGATAAGAAGGAGTTGAATGGAAAGGTTCCAACCAGTGCACAGTACACAAACTGAATAATGCCTGTCAAAAGTACATAAACCAGGTATGCATCAATAATTTTTAACTTTTTAGGTGTTGAATGAACATATTCGTCGTATAATTTTCCTAAAACGGACACTAAACTTTCAGGCATTTTGATAATATTTTAATTTTTCTTCTAACTCAACGTGGCAAACTTTGTTTTGCTCTGCCGGCTTCTCAGTCTTGATTATCAAGGTTTGTTTTGAAACGAGATTTGACCATTGAACTTGATAATGCTGTCTACAACAAATTGCCGAGGTTTCCCGATATTTGTCCACTAATATTTCCATTCTTAATTTTCATACCTTAAATTAGACTTTTTCAAAGCTATATTGAGTAAAATGAGACTTTGATTTAAAAATAATGCTTATTTGAAAGTAGATATTAAAATTTAACCACGTGACTTTCTCTGGCGTACAACCCTGATCACGTGACTTTCATACTCGCCATCTTGGCCCAAATATTTGTCAAAATAACGATGTAATTAACTGAAAATACCACAATATGTAAGTGTCAGTTCATTATGAAAATTAAGAAATATATTGTGCTATATGTAAGGAAGTCCCTTTAATGTGGTTCAACTGTTTTTTCTCCTAATGTCTATACTAACATTGGTTCCAAAGATTTAGGCAGCTGTCAAGAACTCGAATCGCGCGTTTGTTTTGTTTCATCAGACCATGTGGCTCCATTCATTACCATATTTAGAAAACGGCACCATTCTCAAATGTCTAAAATTTCTATCTTTTCTCACATCAATCATATTCTAATAAAAAAGATTTGGAATATTGGATGTAAGTTTAAAGTAAATTTGTTGAAATTGGCTGACATGTTATGATTTAAAGTAAATGCTCAATTCACATTCTCTTAGCCATGTCATAGTAATTCCCCACCCTGTACCCATTCCACCTCAATAAAAAAACGTAGAATATAGAGTTAGACTGCAACTCTTTCGTGCCCAGGAAAAAATTATAGATGTCAAGTTGGGTTTCACATTTCTAAACTTAAAATGAACTAATATTGTTGTCATTACTAAGTGAACAGGGTGCAGGTGTAGGCCTATTTTGCTTCACAAATCTTGAATTTTGATTTTGGTATATTAACTAGCAATTGAATATTGGACCTGGCTATACACATCACAAAGCCTAGTAAGAACTGCTTATGTACAGAGGATGAATGGGAAGCCAGTTTATCAAATTAATTGGTCTTTTAAATCTTTCGTACCAGTAATAGTTTATGAATCAACCCATGCTGGAGGATTCCTTGAATTATTTTGAAATCAATCGAATGAGCTTATCACATAAGCTTTTCATAAATGGGGTCTAAAATGAATATAAAAATCCTGTGTATTAAGCACTTTTTTATAAGATATTTTGACTAATAGTTAAAAAACTAGTGACACTGCCATTTGAAGTTGAATGACTAGTCAACAAAGGTTCCTTAGCAAATATGCACATTCAAAAAAGTGGAAAGGATCCTTTGATGTTAATTAATGAGAAAGTTTAAATGTCCACTTAATATTTTATTTATTTCTGTTTCAGATAAAATGGGTTAGACAAACTCTCAAAACTATACCAGAATCAACTGTAGATCTGATATGAGCTGCATTTAGTTTGAAAATGACATCTGAAATGGTTGACAGATCTGAATTGATAAATATTGAAAATGAAATACAGACCCCATCATCTGCACCTGAACCTAAGTTGCTTGAATCTATGGACATTCAAAGCATCTCAATACCTAATGCTACTGGAGGAGAAACAGTCTATATCATTGAAAAAGTTCATAAAGGTCCAGTTGATAATGTTCCAGTTCACAACCCTATCAGTAAAACCCCTGTTGCCCTTAACACTGAATCAAAGATGCACATTATCAATGATTTTCAAGACACCCAAGCCTCCTTGGATGGTGAAGTCATTCACATCAATGTGGAATCCAGTGTAGATGTGAAGACAACTAAAAGTGAAGCAGAGTCTGAAGTCACTCCTGGTGTATTTCAATGTGAGAGTTGTGACTATTCTAGTAACAATAAACACTATCTCAAACAACATGTTGACTTAGTACACATATCTGGTAGACCATATAAATGTCCATTTTGTGACTATGCTGGAAAGAGAAACCACTCTCTACGAGAACATTTAGTGGTGCACTCAAATGAAAGACCTTATGAATGTAATCACTGTAATGCTACATTTAGAAAAAAGGGACACCTTACCAACCATGTAAAACTTCATGCTTCCCCCAAATTGATAAAGTGTGCCCTTTGTACAGATACAGAGACTCTCCTTACAGACCAGAAAAGCTACCTTGAGCATATGCAATCCGTCCATAAAACCAATAAACTCTTTGCTTGCGATGTATGTGAATTCGTCACCCAAACAGAAGAAAGCATCAGGGACCATATTGCCCATCATAACTCAGACACCAATATTTATCAGTGTGGTATGTGCTCATTTGTCACAAAGGACTACCCATTAATCGAAGCTCACCTTGAATCTCATTCAAACCAGCCACCAAAAACTAGTCCCCCAGTAACAGAAGTAACTTTGCAATCTCTTCAAACAGCTAGACCTGTACTTATAAAGTGTTCAGAATGTGGATTCACAGCAAGCGAAACAGAAAAAATGAAAGAGCACATGATTCAGCACATTGAGCAAGATGAAGCATCAAATGTAAGCAGTAAACCAAAGAAAGACCCTCAATCATTAGTACCATCAAGAGCATCTTATAAGTGTACAGATTGTTCTTTTGTCAGTAATGAGGCCACTGCTTTTATTCATCACATGCTTATTCACAAAAGAAATGCAAAAGAAAAGGGACAGAAAGAAGCTGTCAAGGCCTTGTACAACATCAAACCAGTATCTAAAGAAAACAGCTGCAAGACTGCAAATGCTCCTTTTTACCACGACGAAAGTACTGGACGTTTCATTTGCACCATATGCGGTTATGGTTGTGAATATCAAAGAACTATTAAATCTCATATATGGAAGCATTGTGGTAACCAAGATGTTGTCTATCCAATGTTTCAGAACGGACCTTTGAGTGTTTATGAAGATAATGTTAATATCACATCTCAGACAGAATCTATTCAACGAATCATACCACCCAAAGACTTGTTTCTTCCCGTTAAGAAAGCAGTTGCCTCTGTTGATGTTCCTAGTCCGAATTTGAAACCTGGTACAACCATCTGTAAAATAAAAATTTCAGAAGACAAAATGATCGCCTATATGAAGGAGGAGCTGAAACCAGAAGATTCAAATACCAATATCCTCAAAACTGATTCAAAGTCACAGTCTGATCAGTCAATTTTAAAACGTCATTGTCAGAAACAGTCAATTGATCTAGGATCAGAAACGAAATTGCAAGAAGAGAAGCCAAGATCAATAATTCCTTTGTCAGAACAGAAGCAAGTTCTAAGTTTGAAACCGGTGGGAAAAAACTTGACAGCAATTGAACCAAAAGTCACAATCATTAAGATGGACGAAACTACTTCAAAGCCAAGTACCACAAATGAATTAAACACACAAGCTGTAGTAGTAGAGGAGGTGAAGGCCATACCATGTACTCAGGAATTCACTGGCATGAACAGCTTACAAAACAGTCCGAAGAGACCACTTAGTCCTGTTCTTATGGAAAATCCACAAAGAAAGAAATCTAAAACAGAAAAGGAAGATTCTGGGCAAGAGGCAACAAAGACGTCTTCTGAAAAGACTACAGAGAATGTGGAAGTCCAAATAGACACACCCAACAAACCTCAACAATCACATAAAACTGAGCATGCTCATCTATCAGGAAGACCTGAAACAACAGAAAATGGCCCAAGGACAAGATCGAAAGCATCATCAGAGAAAAAGAAAAAAGAAAATGTCCCCATGTCTAATGAAAATGAAATGGAAGCTGAAGATGGTACTGATAAGGGTCAGAGTGGTATGGCACCAAGCGGAATATGCTCTTCATTACTGGCGGTCATCGAACAACTAAGAGAGCGGTCAAAGACGGATGTCGATGTTGAAAATTACAGTAAACTGGGACTTAAAAAGGCAACAGTCAAAAGACGAAGCAGTCGAAAAGATTCTAGTGACGACGAACTACCTCCAGAATTTGCTGAAAGTATTGAGAAGATCAGTGAAGAAGGAGAGCTCCGTTACCGTTGTAAGTTTTGTCACTATAGTAATCCGAAGCCTCTACTTATTAGAATACACATGCGGTTACACAAGAGCAAAAAACCCTTTGAATGTTCTCTCTGTGACTTTGTAGCCAGATCAATGGAAGGTCTACAGATGCACATGATACAGCACTGCAAGGTTCGTACATATCAGTGCAAACTCTGTCCGTCAGCATTTAACTATAAAAGTCAACTAAGAGCCCACATGAGAGCACATACAGAAAAGGATACATACATCTGCGACTTTTGTGACTTTGTAACTGCTAACTTGACAGCTTACCGTCAACACACATTGGTTCATGTTGACAACTCGTCGTTTGCTTGTGTTAAATGTCAAAAGAAATACAGTTCAAAGATCAATCTACTCCGTCACGTCTGCGAAGCGAATCCGGGAGATTCAGTCGAAGAAGAACAAGGATTGAGTTCAGATGAAGAAACCAACCCAGCTACGAAAGAAATGAAATGTCCTCACTGCAGCTTCACCACTATTGACGTATCAGAGTTTACATCTCATTCTACTGCTCATGTTGATGAAGACTTAGTCCCTGTTCCTTTGAAGTGTGAATTGTGTGACTTTACTGCAGTATCTAATCGTAGTCTGAAATCTCACATGAAACGACACATAAATGACCAAAGGTATGTTCAGCAACCTCTTGAACAGTACAAGTGTAATCTCTGTGGGTATGTTTGCCACCATCTTCCCTCTTTGAAATCTCACATGTGGCGCCATGCCAGTGACCGGAATTACAGCTACGAATTCACAAATGATGTCATAAATGCTGCCATCGACTACGATATCCGGATTGATGGTCGGGACATCAATGATCCCGAGATTTTGGATAGAGTTTTGAATTCTGAACGTAAGATTGTTGAAGGAAGATTAAACAACACGGAACAACCAGGTGGTAGAATGCCCGTTTGCTGGGTTACGTTTCGCTGTTGTCAGTGTGGTTTTGAGACCATCAACAAACCAGAGTTGAATGTTCATATGAGGTCTCATTCAGACATTATTAAGCAGACACTGGATGTTTCAAAGACGCCTGGCAAAAGTGTCATTGACTCTGAATTAGAATCTCAAACTGCTCTCTCAACAATTTCAGCAAATTGATTTTGAATTGGTGTTCGTTATATTGTGTGTATTTCCATCAAGTCATTTTCTGGACGTATGAAGTTTTTAGAATACTTTTGTAGTCCTGCTCAAAACACTTCTATTAAATTAACGGTAAACTCAAACTTAACATGGGCTGATATTGCTTATCGGACATATCTACTTACTCCACGATTTATATATATATGTATTGATCTTGTATTTACATGATATCTGGTCACGTGATATGAGTGCCAAAATTTTCTGATATTGACCAGGTAGCATGTTTGATATTTGACCACATAACTATAGTTGAACCAGATCTGACTATTTAGGTTTAGGTTTTGAAGCTACAATCTTTTGAAAAATCAAGTTTTGTCTTGTGACTTAATTCGTTAAGCAACCATTTAGAAGTGGTCTTGTATTTGTGTCAAAACAGGACTGTGAGAAGTGTTCCGTTATTTATTTATCTTGATACTATCCAGTAATGTAATGAAATTGCCTCGCCCACGTATATGTGGAACAGGTATATTTATAGTGCTTAGTTGCGTCATTTCCATTTCCAATGGGTAATGAAACAAAAGACTCTGAGCCGGAAGTCAGAAGGGTGCAAATATAGCATTGTCCGAGGTAGATGTGTGGATATTATTATCAATAATGATTCTATATTTTGAAAATGATCTGATCAAAAATTGGTATCTTTAACTGATTGTTGACTCGACGATGTTGTTAATGTTGTGCCCATGTTCCTTTAAGCAGCATTATAAGGCTTTACTGGCTGATTTAATTACTAATTTGTTTGGCGGAATAGCTCTCTATTAGTTATATTCGTTGGAACAAAGCACGACAGGAATGTTTTCCCTGATTGCAGGAATGTCGATGTCACGCTGCGTTAACGCCATATGCCATTCTTAATGGGTAGAAATGCCGAAAAGTTGCTTATTGGAACTTGTGTTACCTATGTACATTATGTTCAAGAGATTATTATATTTGCATGTTATTTAATGATTTTATATAGACAAGCGGGACAAAGATATTCATGCGCATCTTGGAACGATTCTAAACATGAACAAGAACAGTCGACTGTGACATTAAGTAAAGTAGTAATGAGCTCAATGCACATTTGACCTGTGTAGGTTCAATAACCGTTTATTAGCTTCAGAGACTGTCTTTGTTTAAGTTTAGAATCGTACACAAACAGGTGCAAAAAAATCTTGTCCCGGCGATACCCCGAGTGGAAATTATACCTTGTTAAAGTATCTAATCAATTTCTTAGGTTTAGTTTGGTTCTTTTGGTTGTGTTCTTAGACTTATTAGTCCACTGGTTTTATTTAAGCTGACAGAGATTTAATCTATTGCGTCTGATATATTCTGGCATATCTTATGAAGTTTCTCAAAGTTATTGTAAAGTGGTTTTCTAAAAAAAGAAATGTGTGTGTGTTATTGATAGCAATTATTTGCATCTTTCCAATTTTAAATCGGACGTCTGTGGTTCCTGTGATTCCACAATACCGGAGTGTTTGATGACGTCACTAATCGTGAAATAGTCTTTTTCACACAAGGCCCTTTGCGAAATCATTAAACCCTTAGTTTTAGTGGAATTGCAGGAACAACAGACGTGGTTGATGCTATCAATGTCCCCGATAAATTTCATTTCTTTAGAAAACCTTTTTACAATCCCTTTAAATGTAATATGGATACAGTTACACGTACTTTACCAGCTAATACAGCATATTAAAACCGCTATCCCCTTTAAAATGAAACCAGTGGATTAATCGGGATTGGTTTCCCATGACATTACTTATTTAATTGTTAATTTTATTTAATTAGTTCATTTGACTCTTCACTATGCCCCACGTTGTAAGGTGCTCTTTCATGCCCAGTGCTAAATACCATTACTTAAAGCTGAAGTGTGGATATTTCTAGACATGGAATGTATATCCCTTATCATCTTCACAATGTCAAGATATTACATACTTCATTTTATACCTTGATTTCAATAGCACTTGTAAACGCAGCAATTTGATTGGTTTGTACACTAGCGGTTACAGGCAGTCAGAGCCCTCGACAAACATGACTTAATGTATACGACTTTCTGTTGAGGCTTCTACTTGGTTGTATTCACCAGTGTAAAACCCAATAAAAATGCTGCATTTACAAACTTCGGTGATACTAGACAGGCGGCTATTGCAATCAAGGTATAAGACGAAGTTCGTATTATCTTGATATTGTGAAGGTGATCCCTTGTATATTATTGAGTGTTTTTACATTAATGTTAAAAAATTTGATTTGATCTTGTCGATCGACGAATGAGATTAGGCTTGGTCCTTGGTGCAATTCTTTTCGATTGAAGATAAGGAAATGGAAAAGGCAATGGCAAGAAGCTTTGTGTATAATTACGTACGATTGGTGTATATTATAAAAGCTAGTCATTGTTTTGCAAGATTAGGTTTTCGCCACAACCTCTGCATATTATGAGTCAATTCATGTGTATGAGGCGTTTTTCTTCTCTCCTTAGTTATACTTGCAACGTTTAGATTATCTGTTTATTTGCTCTATACAATGCTCATTCTCACTTTAACCCCTTTTCGGGGAGTTGGTATAAATTTACATAATAGGCGTAACGAAAGGATCATATGACAATGAAGGAGCGACCTTTTTTGAAATTTATCTCATATTTTAAACCTGTTGGTTCTAAAACGAACATGGAAAATGTCGTTACTTCAATATGAAAGTGAATTAAAATTTGACGTATTATGTCGACATGGAATTTGGACTTTCGATTATACATGATTTGTACAAAAGGGGAATACTTTTTGCCCCCGTCGGTGACACCTTTTGGCAGAAATACAAGAATTTGTTTTCTTTTTTTTTAAAGATATTAATTATTTCCTGGCTAGCACTGTTCAAGTTACAGTTGCTTAATTTTTGTTCGATATATTTCGCCGATCTTTTAAATCTTCAATTGTCCATATCTATTTTAAATTATAATCCTACGCTTAGTTAGACTGTAATTAAATTTGGCAATTTAACGGCATAAACTACAACTGTATTTTGTCAGTTAAAAGCTCAAAAGGCATTATCACGTGTAGTAATTTCTGTTGATATCTAGTCTGTATACCGATGCGAATAGTTGAAATTGAGTTTTATCAGCTGAAATAATAAGACTACTATATCCGTTAAGGTTTTTGATGATCATCCTCTAATGTTCAAGATTTTATCTTTGATAACCGTGAGATTTATTCCTTAAGTGTTTATATCTTTATTAAATTCCTTGTTTGAATCAAAAAGGTATTATTGCTGTACTGATTTGTTAGTTCCTATTGGAGCAATGAAATGATCCTACGTTATGAATCTTTCCCAATTAGCACTGATTCCTTGACCCATTTCTGCCCGTCTTCATTAACCCACATTATGTGCAGAAAAGTAGGACGTAAAACTCCATTCAATTCATTTGACTTATTTCCGTGATCTGTATCGAATCTTTTCAGATGAATGATCCACAAGATTCTGAAACTTAGAACATTTTGAAAGGCATACAAAATGGTATATCCATTTATTCTCTGTAACTATTTTCACTATGACATCTATATTCGACACTTATTTGAATATAATTCCACCTCTCATTGAGATATCCTTTGGTAGTAGCAACTTCCGGTTTCAATTACAGAAATAATAGTATGGTCCCAATTATTACGTTCGCCAACATATTTTTATAATATTTGGACTTTTATTGTACGAACCCATGTCCAACCGTCCATCTGTTTCTACAGCGATTGTACCACCATTGATCATGTTTTCTGATGGAACTTTCTGTTTTCATTGTGTTACGAGTGCTATGAGCTTTAAAATTGCTTTCTGAGGTTGAAGGGGTGGACGAATCACTGAAGCCATGTGTAAGATATAACTGGAAGCCCTCAAAAGATTATTTATTTACATTAATATACAAGTCATGTTTGTACATATTTCAAAATTTAAAGAAATTCGAGTATTGACCTATACCAGTTTTCGATTATTATGCTGAATATCCTATAGTGTCCCAGAAATCACAAAATCTTTGTTGGTAGTCGTTATCTACGGTGGAAGCCGGAGTTTGAAAGTGAAGGATGGGATAATTACCTTTCTCGTTATAAGTAGGCCAAACAGGCGCATCTTGTTGGAACTTATCCTGAGGGGATCTTTTATTTGGATCACCATATTTTGCAAAATTTGTCCAATATTGAATGATCAAATCACTCAAAATGAGTTCCTCTGGCGTATATTTGAAACCAGCAAGCGAAGCTGTTTGGTATACAAATGGTATCTCAGATCCGTGGCAAACATGACCCTCGCAAAAAGTAATGTTGCCCCATCCAGGAAAGGAGAAAGCGTGATCCCATAAATACAACCAAGTATTAGCGTTGCCATATTTCACCATTGTCCTAGATGCATTTCTGGTGGAGCAAACAAAGACTAAATCTGTTGAGAGTTTGGTCATTTGGTCACGCTCGTCGGTTGGCATGTCTGGTGGATACATATACAAGATTTGGAACCCGTGTCCAGGGTAAGTGGCAAACACAATCTCGAAATATGATAAGTTGTCAATCCTCTTGTTAAAAGCACTGTAAATATATATTCTGGTTTCTTCTGAAGTGGTCCCTATCATGATAGGTTTCTGTGAGAACTGACCCTGAGCTAGTTTGACCAGAGGTTGCTCATCCAACACTTCTCCATCAACAACAGGACCCCAAGGTTCAAATGCTTCTAATAATTTAACTGAAGCTATCTTTGATCTTGCTTTGAATTGTGCCTCGACTAAGACCTCGGCTGATAAGTTTCTCAAACAGTTAGAATCCAATGGTGGACAGTTGACCAGATTGGAAAATTCGGCACTTAGGAGTAATGCTTCTGGATAGGATTTGTAAGGGATTGTGAAAGGAGAACTCTCAACAATGGCTTGTTGAAACAGAGGTTCACTCTTGGCATTGGTAAGATGAATCATGGTTGACTGACCTCCTGCTGATTGACCATATAGTGTTACCTACAATGACAAAGATGTCATCGTTAATCCATGGAGGAAATTCATCAAAAGGAGCTCCATTGCAGAGTGGCACCATATTTGGACATGACTTTCATTACTAGAGCTCAACCGTTCGCCATATTACCTTGTTAGTTAGATGGTTTAGTGAATTTGGAAGGATCATTTCTCAATTTACTTACTCTGTCAGGATCACCACCAAAAGCTCTAATGTTATCTTGGACCCATTGTAGAGCGAGTTGCTGGTCTCTGAATCCATAGTTTCCTTGTACATCGTCGTCCTTTAAGCCAGTAAATAAAAAACCAAATACGCCTGGCAGAAAAAAAAGAATACAAGCTTGTTTTAACTGTGCTCCGTTCTTCAACATCATGGTATTTTACCAGACGTCTTTGTGGCACCTCAATGTACCGTAAACCGAACCAAAGGGTTCAATGAAAATAGCTCTTACCAAGTCTATATTCGACATTTATATGAATAATTCCACCTCTCATTGAGATAACTTGAGCATCAAACAGAAGAGAATTGGCACTCATATGAACAAAGTTACCACCATGAATATATACCATCACTGCCAATCCAGAAGACGCATTGGTTCCTAGTGGTGTAAAGATATCTAAGTATAGACAATCTTCGGATACCTGAAGTGAATTCAAATTGGATATTACGATGTGGCACCTGTAAGGGATTCCAAAGAGGCGTCTCTATCAATTTATGTTTCCGTGAATTATACTTTAACTTCAACTTACTGGGTTAAAATATACAGATAATGGCGTTCCTGACGCAAATACCTTGCAATGCAAATGCAGATATAATTGGAAATGTACGAAATTACGGAATAAATGTAAAAGTCATAATAAACGCATGCATTTTATACTTGAATGTTTCAGTGATAATGTAAACGTTAATACCAAACGTTTATTAAGACTTATACAACTGAACGCAATGTGGGTAGTATTTGATTGATTTTAGCCAAGAGTGTTCAATAGCCAATCATGTTCGACAACCTAATCACATGCAAATGCACGTGAAAGCCGACAACAGGGAAATCTGGCTAAAGTGAAATATAACAGACGTTGCTTTGATCAAAACAGAATGGCGAAGCTGGAAAGAAGGTTACGGTAGGCTATATACTTTCTTGGTTATCTACCATAATTCCAGGATAAAAGGAGAATTTGCAAACTTGTGAATTAATGGGGATTTGACGCATAAATTTTAAATGGGGCCTGTGTGTCAAAGGTCAATTTATGTGTCTGTTTTCAAAACTTTAAGCATGTGACTTTTTGTTGAAAACCATTTTGCGTTATCTGACCTATTTAACAAACTATAATGTTTTGATAATCGAAGGATGACTAAAGATATCGCAGTGTAAATAATTGTATTTAGATATCATTCACTGTTATGTAGAGCATACACAGTACATGTATAGCTGTATATATAAAAAAAAAATAAGACAAACCTTTTTAGGACATACTGCTGGAGGATTTAAGGCCTCGCAGTGGAACTGAGTACATCCAGATTTCTTTTCAGTAGCTTTATAGACACTTGGACCCCATGCTTTAGGATTTACTGGATTTTTCCATCTGAAAAAAATGAAGTTGTTTATTTAAAACTTGTACATAGTACATTCCAACTATTAAGGATGAATGGCTAGTTCATTTAAGGTGAAAAAAAAATTAAAATATGGAATAAAAAAATATATTTACCAACTTTTTCTCTGGACGAGGTCGCAAAAATACATGCACTAAAGGATAAACAAAGCATCTTCAGAGATACATTGGTAAATTTCCAGAGGACAATCTTGAAAACCGCTTTTAATAAATGTTCCCATATATTGCATTTCCGAGAGCACAGTCACATTCCCTGTATTCAACATTTACATATTATGCTACATTTATATACATTTTATCGTTTTATGTTTTCCAATATTTACAACATTTGGCAATAATGCATTTTATTGATGTATTTTTCTGCACTTAGTAGTATAGTAATCTTTATAACACCTATCTTAAGTTCAAATCATTGCAACTTTTATGAAATAATACTTCCTTTCGCACTTTGTTAACCGGTTCGATTTCCACTTGAATAAGAAATATTCCACTTTCTGACACGAATCCCTTGTTTGGATTGCGTTGTTTATCTGTAACAAAGCAGTATCCGTCATCCTGTCCTACATGAAACTTCCAAAAAACCTTCTCTTTCGAAAACGCTCTACTGCAACATATTCTGTTCAGCATCGTCATCTTGTAGTTAACAATACAGTACTCTATGTATGGGTTTTCTTTACGTGGAAACTTTATACTTACACAAACATTTCCACGGTCATTTTGCATAGCAAATAATTTGAAGGTTAGACCATGTGTAATATAGCTGAGTTCATTGTAATATCTTTGGTCTGGATTTTTTATTTTATTTAAATCAAAAACAAAGTAATCAGGAGCAGCCATCTTGTTCTTTTGTAGCCCATTTTCTGGCAGTGTTGGTACAGCCTTCATGTTCTTTAAAGGTCCTTTACCTGGTTGTTTTGTAGTAGATTTAGAACTATCTACTGGCAGTTTTGATGTAGGTTTGGAACTATCTACTGGCAGTTTTGGTGTAGGTTTGGAACTATCTACTGGCAGTTTTAATGTAGGTTTGGAACTATCTACTGGCTGTTTTGATGTAGGTTTGGAACTATCTACTGGCAGTTTTGCTGTAGGTTTGGAACTATCTACTGGCAGTGCTGATGCAGGTTTTGGCAATGTTAATGTAGAACTATTTTCTGGCAGTGCTAATTTAGTCTTTTGACTGTCAGTTATGTTAAAATCTGATAATTTGCGAGGGACATTTTGAAATCCAAACATTGTTTCAACTCTTGGGGGTCCTTTCTTTTCAAATTTCAAGTAACTGATTTCCGTATCCTCTTTAGAGTTGACGTCAATTTCCAACTTTTCAAATGATAAATTGTATCTTAACATTGGAACAGTTTGTGTTTCTGTGATATGAGGAACACTTCCCTTTAAGTATTCTTGTCGGCGCTTGAGTTCCTCCATTCTCCCTCTTAGCTCCTCTTTATTTTTGTTAAAGTTGATCACAATATTGTTTTTCAAATCTTCTCCAAGTTCAATGAGTTGATTAGCCAGTAGGTTGATTTCATCGTCGACAGTTTGGATTGCATGTCTCTTAGAATCCTCAAGTTTTGCTACAGCATTGTGATATGCACAATAATTCTTTTCAAGCGAATCTATTTTCTGTTGAAGGTTTGTTTGTGTTTGTTTGTACTTGCCTAAAATGCTTTCGCGAGTGTCTATAAAATCAACACAAGTATGATTTCTGTGATACTTCAATATACATTTCGAACAGGCTTTGGTATCACAATCTATACAAAAATAGTCAACAACGCTTTCTGCATGAAGATCACATTTATTGTTACTGGTCGCCTGTTCACCTGACGATGTTTCTAACGCAAAGTTTGTTTGAAATTTTGTTATACCTCTCTTCGGTATAACCACCTTCTGTCTGCACACTGGACAGTGAAAATATAAATTCTTTTTACCAATGTAACTCTGTAAACACTCTAGACAAAAGGAATGACCACATTGTAGAATTTTAGGACTCTTAAAACTTGACACGCATATAGGACACTCAGGCGAAGACGCCATATTGAATGAATTATTATGGAGCAAATGTGACAGCTTTTGATAAGATTGCGATTGGTTATACAGGCAATCTATTTTAAATAAATAAAACGCTCCAATAAGCTTAACTTCAGACTTGAAATGTGTAGGCCTACTTGAGTTCATGAGCTGTAATGGGGTTAACTTGCACTTGCATTTCCTTATTAGTTTGTCAAAACGCTGGAATGTGGAATGTTCACATTAATCAATAAATATAAAAAATACCCTGCATTGATATACATTAAACTTTGTCAATACTACGATTTAATCAGTGATATATCCATTAAAGCAGTGCTTCTCAACGGGGGGGGGGTGTGAATTCAGCACGGTTAATGATGTACTCACACAGAAGTGTGGTTCGTTGAAGATAATTGACGTCATATACCCCAAAGATACAGAAATCGTGAACGAACATTCGGCCCAAGGGCCACATTAAACTCAATATGTAGATGTGTATTGATTTATTTATATCCATTCATGGTTAATCCTTCAGTACATTGTTCGATTGAAATACGTTTCAAAATGACGGTTTATTTTGGGGAGGAATAGATATTGAAGAATTATTTCGGGAGGAAATGACCTCACTGCGAATTCAGCACGGTTAATGATGTACTCACACAGAAATGTGGTTCGTTGAAGATAATTGACGTCATATACCCCAAAGATACAGAAATCGTGAACAAACATTCGGCCCAAGGGCCACATTAAACTCAATATGTAGATGTGTATTGATTTATTTATATCCATTCATGGTTAATCCTTCAGTACATTGTTCGATTGAAATACGTTTCAAAATGACGGTTTATTTTGGGGAGGAATAGATATTGAAGAATTATTTCGGGAGGAAATGACCTCACTGCGGTTGAGAAACATTGAATTTTAAAGCCAACTATATCACTGTGAAAAATCATATGAAAAATTGAACCAGTTCGTATATGATTAAATGATGGTTTAAGTATCCTAAATTGGTAGGCGTATATACATGATATCCCAATGGTAATTGAATTTAAACATGTTTCTTTTCTTGCGTTATTGCCCTCCTTCAGCCAAAACGCAGCAAAAAAGCTAATGGCAGAGAGACACGACGGTCGGATATTGAAAAGAATTTGAAATCAAAACACGATGTTGATCATATCTAACACGAGTCTGATTTTAGATTCTGATGCTTTAAAGACCATAAGACTATATTAGTATGTTACTTTGTCTTGCACTGAATGTATTTCTGAAAGAATTGCAAAAGATTAATTCAGAAACCACAGAGGTATGAGATAGCCTTATGAGATCTCTCAGTGGTGTGTGTCGCTGATCCCTGATATATCGAGATAAGCAAACGTGGCAGGTACGGAATATGAATAAGACATACACAAAAAAAAAAACCAGAAAATCTGTTACCTCATATCACCTACTGGTGGTGTAGCATAGGGAACTCCAAAAAATACATTAGCTTTGTCCGTAGTCGCACCTTCAATGGACCCATAGGAAGTTTTTACAATGGGCCCGGCACAGCTTCCGATTGCAATCAGCGCATTTAATACAAAAACCAACAACATCATGATGTTGCGTTTACTTTTGTCCAAAATAAATGATGATGAAAAATGAATTTGCAAATTATCTTAAAGATAACCTTTGGTCTGTTAAGGTGATAAAAGCTTTGATTAGAAATGTACTTAGAGTTTTGTAGGTCGGAAGAAAATCACTAAAGATATTTATGCAAGTCATTGAGATCAGATAGATCTTCAGAAGCCTCCTTTGAAAATTGGAACATCACTCTTCCTTGCCCATTTTAATGCTTTCATTAACCATTTTGGTTCTTTTACAATTACATGTACAGAATCAGCTGGTGATAACGGCTTACTGTAAAATGTTTTGTACTTTAGAAAGTCGAGTTCAAAAAGTCGGTTGGGAATCGTGGTTTTACATCATTCTGTGGATAATGCACAATTTCTACAGGATAAACATGACTTCGGTTGAGTAGCTGAAATTGACGAAATTTATTGATGCCGTTCGTCTGAAGATCCAAAGACAGGACAGTCATCTCTCCAATCCACAGAATAACACATTGTAGTGTAGTGTGCACGGAGTCATTTTGCCATCAGCCCCTTATTCATCGAGGCTTTTCAACACGAACAGTCTGTCACAAACAAGACTTTTTGTTCAGAAAAGTAGGATGCAAAACTTCATTTATTGCAGTTACAAACAAGGCTTTGGTTTATGGACCAACACGATCTCTTTTTTCCTTCCCCTCTGAGCTGCACAATTTACAGGGCCTTAGGTTACCATAGCTTTCATCTTTACAATGTCAAGTTATTACGAACTGGGTCTAATACCTTGACTGCAATAGACAACTATTTTACAGCCAATCGGAGCTTCCGACAGAAAGACTGTAAACAATAAAAGCGTATGCAATCAATGGCTATGATTGGCTATATTCGCTAGTGTTACATCCAATCAAATCGCTGCATTTACAAAGCTATTGCAGCCAAGGTATTAGACGCTGTTCGTAATAATTGACATTGTGAATATGCATAGCTTTAGGAAACAACTTTCTCGTCAATGAGGCGAGATGAATAATTTCGGGGTTATCATTAACACAAAATTACATATCCATAAGTTTTATTAAGATGATTTATGAAGTTATTATGAAATAATTCGTACTGGTGAAATATTATGTCAAAATGCAAACATACATGCTTAAATCTTTTGAATTTTTAACACTATCATGATTTACGTTGGTACAGAGCATAAATTTAAAAAAATAATTATTGTGTGTCAAATGACTGGCATTTAACATGATTTGTTTCTGGATATCATATAAACAAGAAAATAACCAATCTGATCTGAATGCAGATTTGGATGTTTAGTTTTGTGTTGTCTTTCTGCGGGCTACTACACTTGCAATCTATGATCTGGAATTTTGAACCATGTCATAAATTATGATAGCCAATCAAAAACGCTCTTAAAAGAAGTTAAATACTAGAGCATTTGATTAGTTGAATATAAAAGGGTTCAGAACAAGAGTTGCTATAAAACATGTCAGATCATGGATGACATGTGGAATCACCTACAGACAAAGCATGAAATTAAACATCTCGATTTGCATATTCAGCAGATTGGTTAATAACTACCAACAAAATGAAATGGGGATAAACAAATGCTAACTATAACAATAACAGAAAAACTAAACTATAACATTGAGAGAAACTCTTTCTCTACAGCATCAGCAATTTCATCATCAACAGAACCAATAGAGTCTTTGTCAGTGTCACTTTTCTCGGACTCTGGGGAAAACGCTTCAACATTTTTTTGATATTTGTCCAGTTCATTTTCAGAGTCCTCATCTGGCACCGGGGCATCACTGTCTTCTGTTTCTATTTTATTCTGAAGCGACAAAGAGGTAGATTTCTTTTTCCAGCCTTTAGGGAAGTTTCCTTGCAGACTGTCATCTGTGGAAGAATCTTCAGGAGTAGAGCAGATTACTTTTGTTCTATTTCTCTGATCTCTTTCTTCTTCATCTTCATCGGAATCTCCATCATCATCTTCATCCAAAAGATTCTCGACTTCTTTATCCATACACTCTATATCTTCATCAGAGAAGGAGTACAGTGGGTTGAAACTTGCTGCAAAGGATTGGTTTTCAAGTGCTGCCGATGGTTCTTCTTCAGAGCGAGAACGTTTGGATGAAGAAGATTGACTTGAGTCCTCCTGAAGAAACACAACATCAGAATCATCAGACTTCCTCTTTTTGTGTTTCTTACCCAGCCTCTTCTTCAGGCTTTCAAGATCTTGTACAGGGCTTTCACAAGATACTCCTGATAGGTCATCAGTAACAGGGAACAACCTCTCGTCCACTCTTTCCCACCGATAAGAACAACTCATTAACCACTCTAAGTTCACAATCTTAATTCTTTTCAATTTTTTGGCAAATTTGTATTTGGCAGTACCTGCCTTTGACGCTATCAAATGGGTTGTGGATTCTTCTGCACTGTCTGTAGGTAGAATGATATTTTGATGGATTGTAGCACCTAATGATTTGGCGATGACATAAGCACGTGATTTTTCTGGAGCCATGTTTAAAGGAACAATTCCACTGAACACAATATTAACACCTTTTAACACTTTTCGCTTGACATATGGAATGACATTTTTCATATTTGGCAAGTCTGAGATATCGTCTTTGTTCTTCATCTGGTCATAAAAGTCATAATATGCTTTGTGAATTCTAGTCAAAATGTCTGTTAGATAATACAAGTAATCATCATCATCTACCCACTCGATTTCCTCTTCTTCACTCACCTGAGTGGTAAGTGGTTCCTTGTTCTTACTTCCTGTGCTACCGGTATTATCCTCTTTGGATGAAGAATCTTGATTGGAATTCTTATCATTCTCATCACTCTTATTTGAATTAAGGTCACTCTTATCATCATCTTTCATATCTACATCATTAGTGTCTTCGGAAGTTTGCACCTCTGTTGGTGACTCTGAAGCAATTGTTACTGATTTGTTGGTTTGCTGGGCACTGGAATCATCTACCTTTTCTACAGATTTGTCATTAGACTCACTATTAACTGTCTTGTCAGTAGTATTATCAGGTTGTTTTTCATCTGTTCCTACAGCATCTGCAGATGTGGTAGCAGATTCCTTGCCCTCTTTCACAGATTCCATACTGACAGATCTCCGAATCTCATGATTGACCGGAATATCATCATTTTCAGTTTTAGTGAGTCCAGGAGGAGCATTGATATCAGCAGTACCTTGAAAGAAATGATATGGTTTGACATGGATCAGATTGGGAGCATAGTTCCATACATCTTCTCTGTCATCAATAATAGCTACCATACAATCACCACATGGAAACAATGCTCTGAAAAAATTCAAATCAAACATATTAGCATTTCAGAGTATATTGTTGTATTGATGTGTATTCGAGAAACAAATTGTGTTTGAGAATGTCCACAAATCAATAAAACATAAATTTGTGTTTAATTCATACAAATGTTGAATGCTGCTTGCTGCGAAACTGTTCATTCCCGGCTTTTAGTTGGAAAGATTGAATAACAAATAACTAGAAAAATTATTGCATACATGATATCATAGTGTTTTAAGGCTGTGTCCTAAACAATATTAATGTTACCACAGGCCAATTGAGCAGGGAATGTATGCCAAACTGACATGTAATTGCCATTTCTGAGGATTTGTGGGCTATTCCAAAGTAAAGATTGTATACACTCTTCACAGTCTGTATGATATGTCTGGATATACATATATGCAAAAATGTTGTCAGATCAAGAGTGGCTGAAGTAAATCAGACAAAATAAATGTAACAAAGTATCTCAGATCTTTATTGTACCAAATTAAAACTTACTTGAGATTAGCAGTTTTTGACATGGCATCAAAACATTCATCTCTAGACAGGATACGATGAGAGAAATATTTCCCATCAGGATCTATAAATCTAGCTATGGTATGGGCATACATCCGTACTCCAAATGTACAGATATGTAATTCATACATCTCAGAAATTTTCTTTAAGAAGTCTTTAGTTCCAGGACGGAATTTTGTATGATACCACAGTAACTTTCTGCCATGCCATAATTGAAAATGGTAAACATCCTGTAAAAAGAAACAGAATAATTTGACTAACTACCATTAAATGAAAAGTAAAGATAGTGGACCACAGCCATATACGCCCACTACGGCATGCGGATGGTAAATATTCAAGATTTTGGAGCAAGGGCAATAACTCTGCTTCTAACGGTCGAAAACAGCTCAAATTAGAACTTGATCTTCGTTTTATGAATATGTATACACATACCGAATTTCATTTGATTCCATCAAAAAAGCTAGTTTTTAGAGCGTTTACAAGCAAATGCTTATGGACGGACCGACGGACGGACAGGGGTGCCCACAATATGCGTCCACATAGAGAGATGTGGGCATATAAAAAAGTATAAAATGTATTCTAATTGGATAAACATGATGTCCTTTCAATTAGCAACAGTCAAATACATTCCTTTGTCTAAGTGTCTTTCCGAAGCCACACATTCAATGAAATTTCTGGGTTTTTTCAATTGTTTTTGTCAAATCTAAAAATTTAACACCTTTTTTTTGAAAATTATGATACCTTGCATGAGGTCAGTTAGACAACAATATCTGTGCTTTCTATTCATAAATTCTTTGAACTACATGATGTGTGTTTATCAAACATCATAACTATTTTTCAACATACCAACAGTAAACCTACCTTTAGTTTGTTTGGTATAGAATCATTGGTGGTATGTATTAATGTTTGATCTAAATCAACTAACAAAGCTAACTTTCTGGACTCTAATAACCGATTCTCATCAGCTTTCCCTAGTTCAAGAGCAACCTAAAAAACAAAAAATATATAGATAGAAAAAAAGTGTTCAAGTATATATGGGTTTTTGTTAATAGTCCTTAAAATTCGTAATATTTAATGAATCAATTTAAGTGATTATAAAGAATATTACCTCTTCACTAACTATTAACTCTGGTATACAATGTACCATAGCAACTGAAGCCTGTACTGGCTCTTTACGGTCACCAGCTAAACCTAATTCACTGAAATAAACAAATTATGTCAGCGATACTTAATTCATCATTGTATAATTATACAGGCAAAATTATTTGGTAAGAATTTAATTTACTTCTAATTCTGTTTAAGTCTAAACACTTTAGAACATACCTTTGGTTTCAATCAAAGGATATTTTTGAAAGATAACTGTTGTCATGAATGCCATGTATAGATCATATCGTATATGCTCTTTATGCACAGTGAAATGAAAATGGCATATGAAAAGCCACATCTATTTCATTGACTAATTAACACATCCAAATTTAATTATAAGCCGATTTCATATATAATTTGTTCCCAGAACCCAAAAGTCTGTTTAAAATTTAGACATACCATCTGAGATCAGCACCACATTCTGCGCACATATCTTTCATTACAGTTGGATGTGTACAAACAGTACTTGATTGAGGCTCTATTTCTAGCAAGTTAGCTCTGAAATACATAAAAAATTCAAATAATTAGATATTTCAATACTAAGGGGAGGTGACAGATATACTGCCGAGATATATATGTCAACCTTCTTACATATCAACATCCTATGAAGTGGAAAATCAGTTGGTAACAAAATCATAGCGATTGTGGCTTGTAGGGGCTGTCAGAAGCATAAAATTAGCACTCTTATTACAACTACAAGTGGTGTCTTTGATTCAAAGGCATTGGCCAGAATCTTCATCTCTTCGGTTTCTGTTCTATATCATACTATAGATTTTGTTCTCTCACTTGAACAATAACACAATTACTTTTACTTCTAAGAGGCAAGCCATTTTAATGAGAAACAATGCAAAAATTACCCGGGTTGACAGAGTTGTCCTTCCTTGACGCAAATTTTCTTCACAAATCCATCGTCTGGTGCCTTCAGTTTGAGAGGAAGTTTGTCTGTCTCTTGTTCTTCAGTTTGATATAGTGCCAATAAAACTCCCTTCGATACATGTGTGCCTTGACGAACTTTCCATTTTGTTATTTTCACTGGTTTTTCACCAGGAACAACTAACTTCATAATGTCGGGTTCCATTTTGTTTTGTCTCGATTAACCTGTCGCACTAAACGTAAATAAACACTTTACAGTTGGCTACAGCATTATGTATTTTCTAAAACTATTCGATTAAGAAAAGCTAATCTTTTCAAATAGATTTTAATTGCGTGTATATGTGTCGAAGTTAAGTTTACATTAGCAAATATCTTTCAGTATTAAGTGAAATATTATTGTATGCACTCAACTTACTCACGAGACGTGATTGACCGAGACTTATTTTGTTGTTCTGTTGCGCGTAAAACGCGGATATAATACGACTTTCTTATTTTGCATAGAATCCATTGATAGGCCTTCAGAGTGTAAATGTAAAGGCGATACAAAATATAAGAACCATTACCACTTTTCTGACTGCTATGATCGATTTTTAGAGAGACTAACAATGACGTTTGAATCGGAGGGTGGAGAAGGGGCTACATAGTTTTTTTTTTAAAGGGAAATAAATAAATAAATAAATAGGTCTTAACTGCAGACAATTTATTTTACGAGACTTGTAAAATCATAATAAGAATTCCTTTTCAAACGGAATTGGAATAAATATTTTCAACCTTTATACATTTCTCATGCTTTTGTTTGTTTGCCATCTGAGCTATATTTAGTTTTGATTGTGTTTTAGCAGGGATCGCTTTCGTCTTTATGGTAGCTTTTCTTGAATATGAATACAGACATGCTACTAAAAAAGCAATCAATAATGTCAATGCAGAAGGTCCTATGATGAGCAAATCTAAACGAATGTCCTTTTCTTTTTCTTGATAATTTTTTGAGACTGATGTCGTCGTAGCTTTGTCGTTCTCTCCATCAAAGTAAAAAAGCAGATCGAAATTGCTAGGAAAGGCTATGTTACGCTTTAAGAACATCTCTTTAACTGGATTGAAGTTGACTTGAAGCCATTCCTCGTCACTTTTGTTTGTCCCTTCTTCACAGTCTTTCAGTTCATAACACAATGCTTCATGCGATCTTCGACTTTTGGGCAACTTCCGGCATTTACTGACAGCTCTCCGTATTTTGGCGGAAAGTTTATCTATCCATTTACTTCTATCAGTGACGGTTTCACCAAGCTCAAATATTGAGTTCAGATTGATAATTTGAGAAACTCCTTCCTCTCCTGTAAGCTCGGAAACCATGGTTTCCATGTCATTTTCGGGATCACGTTTTGGCGTCGACAAGTCTGGATCTTTGTAGGATTCACTCGGAGTATGTAGAGGATCTTGCTCTATATACGCAATTGTTGGTTCAATATAGATCTTTCTGATATAATCAAACATCTTTCTCCGCCGAGGAGAAGCATTCATTGGTTTGCTGTTTGTAAACAGATGGCGATTAAGATGCGGCCAATTCGTAATCATATCGGGTATCTTGTGGATATCTTCGTTCTCTTTTGTCGGGCGAACTTCTAATCGGTCAAGGAAACCAATGTGTATTGCTGATGTGTTCACCAAAGATCGAATTGAAGAAGCCTTGGCTGCAACTTTAGGCACTGAAGATGTCTTGGTAGAAACAGTACTCATAGAAAATAGTTTGGTAAAAACGTTAGGGATATAAATTGGCTTGGTAGTAACTTTAAGCGTAGAAAATGACTTGGTTGAACCTTTTGGCGTAGAAAATGACTTTGTAGTAACTTTTGGCGTAGAAAATGACTTGGTTGAATCTTTTGGCGTAGAAAATGACTTGGTTGAATCTTTTGGCGCAGAAAATGTCTTGGTTGAATCTTTTGGCGTAGAAAATGACTTGGTTGAATCTTTTGGCGTAGAAAATGACTTGGTTGAATCTTTAGGGAAAGAAAATGACTTTGTAGTAACTTTTGGCGTAGAAAATGACTTGGTTGAATCTTTTGGCGTAGAAAATGACTTGGTTGAATCTTTAGGGGAAGAAAATGTCTTGGTTGAATCTTGTGGCGTAGAAAATGGCTTGGTAGTAACCTTAGACGTAGAAAATGGTTTGGTAGAAACTACTTCGAATACTCTTCTTCCCCTACCATCCGTTGGTAATCTGTTACGAATTGATTCCACGACCTTACTGACACTTTGCAGGCCTTCACTAGTTGGTACATTGTTGCTGACATTACACGGTACACCACTATCTTCACAAAGTGGGAAAGCTGTTCCCGGAACCAACAAAAAAGCTAACAGTAAAATCATTATGGAAACTCTGCGAAACAACTGAGTCACAGTTACCTGAAGAGTGTTATATACTGATGTAATTAGAGACCAAACGTTTACCGAAAACGAGACTAAAGAGGCAAATTGTGCCTTGTAGCAACCTGATTTGTTTTATAAAGTTGGATATCGCGTCCTAAATGCTTGTGTGGAAAATCTGGAAATCTAAAATTCACTTGATCAATACTCATATTTTGTGAATTTTTTAAGGAATTATGCGATTTTCGTAATTTTTAGTACTGCTGAAGACTATTTACATATATTCATGACCATATTAATCCCCGAAATGGCGAATCTGTCCCTTTAAATGCCTATAATCTCTTAGGTGGCTCAATCTCGGACAATATTTTGATCTAAATATATAACCTAAATGAACGTGTTTTTTCTGTTCTCACATCTTCGTTACGTCGTATGCATTCGAACGTGATTTTGGTTAATTGTTCGGACTTATGAATTGGTTTAACTATTTTATGCCTTAAAATATTGTATGCGTTTGTTATCAAAGGGAGATAATGTTAATTGTTGTTAAATGTTATTGTGGTCTGGATTTGCAATTGATAGTGGATATACATCTTTAATTAAGAATCTCATTTTAATTAAGAACTTGATCATTGAAATTTAAACCTTATATCACATGACAATTAGTAACGTTGGTCTAATGATTACAAACGTTGTTATATTTTGGATTTTTAAATCTAAATTATATCATTATTTACACCCGAATCAAAAATGAATTATAGCTAACAATATACTTATTGCTTAAGATAGTACAACTTAACACGTCCGCCCTATTCAACTATCCTATCAAATTTAAGATTATGCATAATTTTCCTCATTGTACACTGTATGATGATGCCCATTCGCTAACTTAATCCAGTGTTGAACAATACATTTTGCATTGAGTTCATCTTTACATTATCATGCACCGTATAGATATAAAACATTCTGTGCTCTGAAAGACTTGGTACATTCTGAGAAATCTTAATTAAAATGCCATTAATGCCTTTAGATAATGGAACTGAAATAAAGAAACAAATTAACTTATTTATTTTATGTCTTCAAAAGACTCTGTGAATATTTGACCGATTTGGTGGTTGATAAAAACGCCTCAAATATCAGGTTGAATGTAATGAATATCTTCACGATATGCACGTGCATATTCATATCTGTGTCCATTATATCTAAATGGTGGACTTCTGTCGTAACAAAGTGAATATAGTTGATAGCCGGTGTTAAATCTAATTACCAGTGAACTGAAGTCATTAATTAAGAGATTTATAAAGAATAATAGGTGCAAGTGTTAAAATTAACTGGATCAAAGTTCAAGGACACACATTGTTATGATATTACCAGACCGAAAATTTCTGACACGAAAAAACGACTCTATAATTTTTTTATGCCCAAAGAGGATTATTGTATTTTGTGATGGATTATTATTGTGATATACGGAATTTTATATTGTGATAAATGCCTTGGAAGTCCTTTGAATTACTTTTAGTAAGGCTGAAATACATTTTTATATTGTGATAGTGCTGTATACTATGGCTGATACAACTATCAAGGCTGATATACATTCTTATTTTGTGCTAGTGGTAAGGCTGAAATACATTGTGATAGTGCTACAAACAAAGGTTTTGATATGATGAAGCTAATATACAAATTGCATTGTGATAGTGCTACACACCAAGGCTATGCACAAATAAGGCTGATATACATATACATATATTGTGATAAATGAAATGAACGTCTTTTGGCAAGGCTGAAATACATGTTTATATTGTGATAGTGCTACACACTAAGGCTATGCACAAATAAGGCTGATGTACATTTTATATTGTGATATTGCTACACACCAAGGCTATCCAATAAGGGTAAAATACATTTTTATATTGTGATAGATGCCAGGGACTTAATTTGGTAAGGCTGAAATACATGTTTATATTGTGATATTTCTATAAAATAAGCTGAAATACATGTTTGTATTGTGATAGTGTACACACTGAGGCTATGCTATATCCGGATTTCTTTAGCCCACATGGTGTAGAAAAGTAGGACGTAAAACTCATTCATTTCATTTCAATTAAGGTTGTGCAATGAGATTAATGTATATTTTTACATTATGTTAGGTACGGGACTTTGATATGGAATCAACTTGAATGTCGAGGCTTCTATCGGTTAAAGGAGCGTTTTCAGGTAATTCAGTTATATCATAACACAACATAATTAACATAAACATACCAAACAACTACATTACATTCGCCGATATCTGTCTGTCAGTCCCAATCTGTCCATCCAGTCTGCATACAATGGTAATGGTATCCTCGACTAAATGGTGATATTCCTGATAGAAACGTTAGCCCAACTGAACCCCACTTCTTGTAAAAGTTATGTTGAAAATGGGATTGATTTAATTTTTTTAAGTTCTATTATCATTATCTGTGTTTCACCATTTGTGCGCAATGCGGCAGTCAGTCTGGTTTTCGGTGGTTTAAAGACTTTTCTTGATTTAACTACCGAAAACACGACTAATATTGTCACTGTTGAGCTGAATTAAATATTGAGTATTTAAGCCCATCATAAATGTCCATGTATGTACAGTCTGGATAAAAAAAGACTTTTTGACCTTTCTTGACCGGTCACTCATTGGAATTCTGCTGGTAATTCTCTTCTAATTTAGCTAATTATGAATTAATTATGGACATGTGAGACAAACTGGTATTTTCCCAAGTCATTAGAACACCTCTACGTTCTAATCATATAAGTTTCATAAATGAAAATAAGGGAATTCATCTTTAAAGAATAGACGTAACAATTTAAATTTAGCAAAAATTCACACTCGTTAGGAATTGAATGTAGTCATTTTAAAAGGATATTAAGATGGAGGTCTTTATCTGTCGTATTTACTATTTCAGTATTGGCAACGAAATTTTTGAAACAAATGTGTTTGTTTTTTTTTAGATCAGTAAAGATCTAATGTTATACGTATATATTCAAATAATTAGATTCATCTAAAAGGAATACAGTCGCCTTAATATTTGAATTTTTCGTTGATATACATGAGCTCTCTTTCAGTTGTCCGTATCACTTTTTAGAATGAAAATACGACACGACGTCGGATTCATCCGTTACACTTAAAATGCGGAAGTGACGACAGTCTTTAACATCGTAACTTGTGGCAATTTTAGTGTGATTTAAAGAAAAAAACCTTAACGACTTCGTCCCTTGATCAAAATTAAGATAATGTTCACAACGTAAAGTTGGCCATAACTCATAAGTTTGTTGTATTGTCAAAATCTATAGGTTTATGTCATTTTCATGCTTGATAATATATCAAATATAGCGGAACAGGCTGTAAATCAAAAACTTTTAAACCATGATTTCGGTGTATAAATGCATCAAAAATTATATCTATGTAAATTATATATTATATGTGATATTTTTTTGCAGAATACTATGTAAAAGGGCCATTTCTCAAATATTGCGCAGCTTGGAGGAAAGTTTTGTACTGATAACCACCTAAACATTATAAATAGCCTCAAAATAACAAATTTTGTGTTTAATGACGTTTTTTTTTCTCCCGATACTTTATTAAATAATTTCTATATTTTGATCACTTTAAGAGAAATAATTCAAACTCTACTTTCATTTATTTCAATAGTTCCCTTAAATTCATTCTTTCTCTTTCAGAATCGAAAACCACAAAATGTCACAACTGAAAACTTTGATAGCTTTTCTCAGAACCGTTTGTCACCAATGTTTCAATAAAGTCGCTCTCCGTAAAATCTTTAGGTATGACGTAAAACTCCATTCATTTCATTACATTTGTCTTAAAATATTTAATTTGTGATCCATTATGTTATTGACGAGTTTCATCACGTAATAAGACAAACCTACAGATTTGAATAAATAATTACAGCAGTTCGATGTTTTCTAACTAATGACCATGTTTATATGACCAACTGGCATTTGATTGTAAATGTGTGCACTTCGAGTTTCGTCTGATTTTCCTATGACACAACACCCAGCTGGATAGCCCGATCCACCACCAGGTGCTCCGAGGGGCATTCCTCCAGCACCAAGGCTATCGGGGCCAGATTTGATCTAAAATAAAATAAAAAGTGGTTGAAAATGTACTGAAAACATATTTTGGAAATATAAGTCATAATGATCAAATATTATTTATACAAAAAAAAAAAAAAAATATAAAAATAACTTGGTTTGTATTGCTCTGAAGTTATTAACCGAATGCGTTTTTTAGCATTATGTTTGTAGCATTATGTTTGTAGCATTATGTTTGTAGCATTGTGTTTGTAGCATTATGTCTTTATTATTATGATTTTAGTAGCATCATAGTTTCCTATAATTATGTTTTTAGTAGCATTATATATTTCCTAGAAATATGTTTTAGTAGCATTATATATTTCCTAGCATTATGTTTTTAGTAGCGTTATTTATTTCCTAGCATTATGTTTTAGTAGCATTATATAGTTCCTAGCATTATATATTTCCTAGCATTATGTTTTTAGTAGCATTATACTTTGTTTTAGTTGCATTATGTTTAAGGTACATTATGTTTTTCCAAGAGTTATGTTATTGTTTACCATAAAACTTATATAACTTACCACCAGAGCTTTTCCAACTATGGTCAGTGGTCCAATAATTGATGTGTTAGGTATCTCAAACGTTTGAAATATGTTGCCTTCTGCATCTTCACGTACATTACCAAAGTCACCCAAGCGCCTAGAAATATGTTAATGAACAATATAGGACACTGCATATTCTTTTTGGGACAGGGACTCTGTATATGACAGTCGTAAACGACGAATTATAACCACAACCAATGACTCACTGCAGTGAAAATGTAAATGTATTTTTGATTCGGTAAACAGACACGATTATCCTTCTATTTCGATAAGACATAAATTTTATTTGGTATTTATCTCTGCTATCCGATGATTCTTGCGGTGTATACAAGGTAGCTTTTAATGCCTTTTGAGCTTTTAATTTGAGCTCACAGACATAAAATAGAAACCGTTTCGAGCAGCACTTTCCCTCTTCGGACCTATGTTATGTCAACTCCGCACCTCTGTAGGAAAACTCACAAAGAGTGGTGGCCTTCATATATCATTTGGTGGTACGGTTCAGAGAATTGACAAGGTGGTTCACAGGACAGATTCGCCATCCGTTTGACCAATTGTTCGGTAGTCTCCGAAACGGCATTTCCTTTTTAGCTAAGCTAACCAGTAAAGTGTTCACGACTCGAAATTGGAGCCTTCTGACGTGTGTCCAGAATTATCCGCATTTGTAAATGTTGAATCTGTCCCTTTAAGAACTCAATGATAAGAAATTTGACTAACCGCACAGCACTTTGTCTACCTCCATGTGCCATTTGGTAGGGGTTAAAGATCCGACCAGCAGAGCTACAATGACCTCTCATATCTCCGTATTCATGTACATGTAAACCGTGTTCGAACATCATATTTTCAGGATTAAACCCAAACAACTTGACGTTTACCATCAAATTACCGATTGGTGTACACATAGGATCCTAAAAGTAAGGAAACGATAAAATATTAGACCTCTTGAAAGGAATTGTAAAGAGGATTACTAAATTTTGTTTGTGTATCGGGAACACTGATAGCATCAATTTGCATTAGTCCAATTTTCAGTCAGACGTCTGTGGTTCCTGAAATTCCACAGAATAAAATCGCAAATTATGCTTTTTCACAAGTCCCTTCGCGATTAATGACGTCATCAAACACGTCTATAATAAATACATAAAAAATTTCGAAAACCTTTTTACAATCCCTGTTAGAGTTCTAGACAATCTACACTAAGAACTTTGCACATTGTATGAACAATTTAAACGTATGACGTGAAAACCACGCCGCCATACGTCACTCAAAACCCGTAATCGGGATACTATGGGGTTACTTCAAGCACTCCATCGCACAAAATGTAAGTGTATTGAAAATATACGCACCACTTGCTGTGAGAAATCTACACTTCCATAAACTTTTATTTCTTCAATCCTGTTCATAGTACATGTTGCATAGACTGAAAATATTAATTGGTAATTCTGAATTGTCATTTGATTATGATCAACTTAATAAATCTTGCGTTCAGTCTTAATTAGACATGTGAATAAGGTAAACAAATTTTATGTCCAGTTTGGCAATAAAAAAGTTGGATTTATCATCTTAACTGTGAACCTTTTAATATCTACACAAGAATAAAAGTAGCATCGCTTACCTTGTCCAAGGGCACATGCTGGATCAACATTGCCGCCAAATTGGTCCATACCCATTGCCGGATCTTGGAAACCATGGGGCATAGGTTGCATGTCTGGTGGTGGCATAAATGACATATCCCCCATTTGATTTCCTGGCATTAATTGAGAAACTGCCGCTTGTCCCATTGCCGAATATGGTGGCATATCCGGGCCCATCTGTGGCATTGGTTGCATTGCTGTTAGATCAGGCGGCATTGGTTGCATTGCTGTTAGATCTGGCGGCATTGGTTGCATTGCTGTTAGATCAGGCGGCATTGGTTGCATTAGATCAGGCGTCATTGGAGGTCCCACAACTGGAGTCTGCGATCCAGACGATATTTGAGATCCATCTGAAAAGGTTTTAGTCATTTGCTGCATTAATGAAGGTTGGCTCATAGGTGGATATGGCGGCATATCCGGTGACATTTGTTGCATACTGGCAGGATCCATAGGACCAGGGATAGGATTCATCGGGTCAGCAATTTGACCTGGGTTCATTCCACGTTCTGACCCATCTGTAAATGCTTTCATCATTGGGGGAGAAGCCATATCTGGTGTTTGAGGTGAATTAAAAATCTTTGGATTAGTTGTGAATACTGGCATTGTTTGCTGTGTAACTGGTTTTGGAATATCTGGTTGTTGTAATTGTAGTCTTGGTACTTCTTGTTGTTTTATCTGGAGTTTTGCCATTTGTTGCTGTTGTGGTTGTTGTTGTTGTGGCTGTTGTTGTTGTGGCTTTTGTTGAAGATTTTGTTGCTGAGGACTTTGTTGTTGTACCAATGGATATTTACGTGGTGCTGGTTGTATTTTAGAAACAGATTGTGGTTCTTTTGATCTGTTTGGTGTCAGCCGAGGAACTTTTGAAAGGTCATTTTTGCCTCTAGAAGGGATTTTAGCTGCTTGCGAGAAAATACGAGAAATCTGTGGTAACTTAGCTAATACTTTACTCCTGGGAACATTCAGTATCTGAGAAATAGTTTCAATCTGACTTGATGACACTCTAGAATCTGTTGAAATCACTGGTAGGATTGTACGTGATTTGGACTCGCGATCTCTGGACGAAAGTTTATTTAGCTCCGTTATAACATCGCGAGATGAACTGCGGCTTAAATCTGAAAGACGATTTCTTGGTGAATTCGCCTTGTTGTCTGCATCTCTTCCAGTGTAATCCGTAAATCGATCTCTAGGTGGACTTCGAGTTAAATTGAACAACCTGTCTTTTGACGGATTAAGGTTTAAATCTGACAACAGATCGATCGAGGTTATCCTCTTTACGTTCGAAGGACGTTGTCGTTTAGAGGTCGATTGTTTTTTGCTGCCTCTTTTTGGAACTTTAACAACTTGCGGAACTAAAATGTATCCTTCAGTTTGTGGGTTTCCGGATTCAGATTTGGTTCTCGCCATGCCTTTGTTGACCGACGGTTGTGGAATGTGAACCACCGTTCGAGTGTCTGGTTTTTTGCCATCTGTTGCAAATAGCTCACTCAATCCTGGATAAAGAGATGTGTATTAAATAAAAGTTTAAACAAATAAGTAAGCTTATGCAACTGATTGAAATCATATTTTTTTTAGCTTCTTTAAACAAGCTTTAGCTTCTATTTATGTAAATATGTCGTCGTCTTTATGTAAGTATGTCGCCGTCTTTATGTAAGTATGTCGTCGCCTTTATGGAAATATATGGCGCCGTGTTTATGTAAATATTATGTCGCCGTCTTTATGTAAGTATGTCGCCGTCTTTATGTAAGTATGTTGTCGTCTTTATGGAAATCTATGGCGCCGTCTTTATGTAAATATGTCGTTGGCTTTATGGAAATATGTCGTCGTATTTTTCTTTTTTTAGCGTTCGATTCTTATATTTAAATGTCATGGAAATCAGCGTTCGTAATGTAGCACGGTTACAATTAACGTCAAGGAATGTTTCTGACAGAGAACTCAATACAAAAATCGTAGTCCACATAAAAAATCTTGTTGACAATAGCTTCAAAATCGCTTTGTTTCAAAAAAACAAAAAACAAAAAAAAAACCAGTGAGGCGCATTTTTTTGTGACGTGAAGATATAGTGTTCAGTTATTTTATCCATTCTTTTGATTACCAATGTGTTTTGTTCTCAGATAACTTATTAAAAGATACTTACTGAATTCTGTCTGAGCATAGCTGCTATTTAAACATCCTAATATCAAGACGAATATGCATATGGGTACCTCCATTTTACCTTCACATCAATTTAGTGATAGCCTGCCTTGACATCTATAGCAACTATAGATTTCCCCTAGGCTCAGTAAAATAAATAATCTCCAGTCACTCATACATTTTTGATGTTTCTGGCGTTTTAAAAGCAATTCACAAATTTAGGAAATGTGTTTGATTTATGTATGTGCAGTAAAACATTTATAACGACAGATTATAACACGTCGGGGATGAAAAAATTATAAATAGCAAAATTTTATGTTTAGTTTAAATTTTATTGTTCGACTTGAATGTTGTTTTGAATTTTTGTTACATTTTCTTTTTGTGCTTAGTCGATCGGTTGTGAGAATTACTCGAGGCCCTGCGTACTACAGACTGTGCACATTAAAGATCTCTCGACAGATGGAAATCGAATGAGAGCAGGCTAATGCCTCTGTCCTGACAAAACTTCCCCACCGTCTTCATTAGCCTACATGGTACAGAAAAGTCGGACGTAAAACTCTATTCATTTTATTTTTTTTGCGTCTTAGAGACCTCATTAAAGAAAACAATTGGCCCACAGCTTTGAGACGTAAATAGTATTGGTACGCCCGAAGCACCATTTCGTTTTATAAATAACACAAGATGGCTCTAGGGTAATTAATGTAGGCCTACACCGTATCAAAAGTAAGCAATGATTGTCAACCTATATGGCCAGGGCTGGTTTGTGACGTTTGACAATTCATTTTTCCCGGCACATCCGTTATCAACACGCGTATGTTATTATAGAAAATGTAAAGGTTTTATGATTTTCTTTTATGTGATTCGGGGACAACGAGAGCATCAATTTGCACCATTCCATTTCAAGCAGGCGTCTGTGGTTCCTGAAATTTTACTAAAACTAAGTGTTTGATGACGCCATTATCTGTTAAGGGCCTTTTAGCATAATATTATTTGTCGAATGGTGATGTTATCACACACTGAGTTTTAGTGGAATTGCAGGAACCACAGACGTCTGATTGAAAATTGGAATGTTGCGACTTGATGCTATCAGTATTCCCGATACACATAAATAAATTAGAACACCTTTTTCAAATCGTGTCTGGGGTTCATATGTACTAAGGTATTGTATTTAAAATATCTATAAGGCATCAAGATCGCTCTCATGATATACAGTTCGCCTTTAAGCTATTATTAGTTAATTCCCTTGGTATGCTATAATTATATTAATAATTAATCATCCAATTAATAGTCTAGACTGATATATGACGTATTCGACAACACCATATTATTAAAATATATATCATTTTTAATTGTCCAGGGTTTTCTTTTTAATATACCATCTAAAAGTTTAAATAAGAAACAGAACATATATTGTTCATTGTATTGTATAAGCTACTTCCCTTAAAATGTAATTTTTTTTATATTTATTATGCTTTGCTATAAAATAACCTTACATTCAAGTTTGGATCATTTTTAGTATCGAAGCAATACCGTTTTCATTACATTTTATTCGGACAAAGTCAAGTTTGTGGAACGTGATTAGGTTTCAGGGAAGGGAGGGCTTGATTCTGCCAAATGTACAGGCCTGGATGGAACAAAACAAATTGAAAGTGGTCTGGATCGACAGGGCAGTTTTCTTCTGGTTTTCGATGCCTTGCACTACGTTATTGTAATATACACATTTTCATCGTAATACATAGAAGGGAAATTACTCGTTTGGTCGTTTGTGTTGAAGGAATTATTGTATGTGCCAGCATAAGAACAGAAATTGTTCTGTCTCTCGGTGCTAACATTATACTTTATTTGAATCATACTGTGAATTTCGTCTTCCACAATGTCATTGAATGGAATAGGCCTAATGCTTGTTTTATGAACATCATTAATTTGATGATAAATTCAAAAAAATAAATTTTTTTAGGGAATACTGAAACTGTTTGATATTAATAATCAGAATATCATAAAAGTTTCATATTATATCTTTTTAACTTAATACAATCATCTAGTTCTGGAGCTTCGCACAGAGTCAGAACGACCAATAACACAGCAAGCTAGTCTTGAACCAGAGTTACCAGTTCGTCGACTCTCGTCGTTAATACCCGAACCCAAATCATCTTGTAGTGCGTGCAACTGAAAAAAAAAAAAACAATGACGTAATTGAATGTTTAAAATGCTAAATCTACGTCTCTACTAGCGCCCATTACCCGGTTTCCCACTGTCAGTGATTCAGGTAAGAGGAGCTGCCATGGCAAAAGCGTCTAGTCGTGCGGATGGGACAATAAACACGTGTTCTACAGGCTGTGCACGTTGAAGATGCCTCCGCAGTTGGCCAAATTTCCCTCATTACATTCTGCATGGCGTTGCCCGTCTTCATTAGCACACAGGAAAGGTAAGACGTAAAAATCAAACCATTTCATTTCATTTTTACTACGCACTGTGGTGCGTGTCTTCAAAAAACTCAACTCACTAAGTATGTATTCCCCTCCTCCCTGCTTCCCCTTAAAGAAGACATAATATAATAATTTGAATAATAATAGTTACCACGACAGCTCGGCCAATAACTGATCGGGGTCCTACTATTGAAGTTTGTGGTACTGGAAACTCTGCTATAATGTTACCATTGCCATCCTCTCGTACATTGCCAAAATCACCAATGTGTCTGCAAAAGGGAAGATTTATTTCTTAAACTCCTTATTTTACACACAAGTAAGCTGTTTTAGAGGAGAAACTACGATAAACGTCGATTGATAGATCCTTTGCAGCAATGATATGCTTCTGAGAAATAAGATAAAATTCCACTGAACATGTACATAATCGCTGATCATTCAAAATCACTAAACTCACCTTAGATTACCCCGTCTTCTACCATGATCCCGTTCAAAGGGGTTATAGTGCGGGCCAGCTGCTTGGCATTGGTCACTTAAATCACCAAATTTGTGGACGTGAAGACCATGATCTAGTAACCCATCATCTGATTCAAGACCCATGATTTGTATAAAGACTTCCAAATCGCCAATTGGTACGCAATAAGGATTCTGAAAGACATGGGTGTTAATTTGGGCAATATTATTACTGATGACATGACATCAAACGTCGGAGAGGTTTGACTCCGGCGTCATTCATGACAGAGGTACCTTTACAGATACAATTAAAACTTTGTTATGACCTTTGGGCTTAAGCACGACTCGTGGCAGAAATTGTACTCTGACATCACTTATGTACATGACCGTTTGAAATAGACTGGACTCTGACATCACAAAGAGAGGTTGTACATGATGTCACCCTCGACCGTTGTTGGACTTTGACATCACCCGTCACCAAGGAGAGGCCGGACTTGGACATTACTCATGATAACAGAGGTTGTCCTGTCAGATTGGACTATAGAATCACGAGTGATAGAAGGAACCCTCAGATCAGTCGTGACAGAGGTTGAACTCATTAGATCACAAGTGAGTTGTTTTACTTCTCGTTTTGAAAGGAATATACAATTTGTTTAGAAAGCCCAAGAGTTGAACTGATATAGAAATATTACCAACCACTTGTTGAGAGAAGTCAATTCTACCCTCAATTTCATTACGAATATCGTTACCACCACCACCTTTCATCAAACAAGTTGCATACACTACAAGTAAATATCATTTCTCGTTTTGTTTTCAAATGATAATGGTTACATTTGCATACACATTAAAAAGGTAGATTCTTATTGTCTTATGCCCATCTCTGTTACTTTCCGTCAGAATTTGTTAGTGAGAAAATGGAGCTTCTGATTTGACACGCATTTGATTGAACCTGATGATTTGAACATGAAAAGTTACAATGACAGTAAGCAATATTTTGACTATTAGTTTATTAGTTGATGCCTGTGCTTATTCTAAAAGGTAAGTGCAATAAAGACTGCAGTTTCCATCTGCATCTGCACCCCAACTCATGTACTATCACAAAGAAAATATCGGTCTGTCTGTGAATTCAGATAATAATGTTCATATCAGTCATATGGAGGACACAATTTTTTTTAGAAATGAAGCTTGCTTGCACTGGGAAGGTATGCATTGGGATTATTTGGGGTACATTTATTGAGTTTACATACCTATACCAGTAGGACAAGGTACATTAGAGGGTGTGGTTCGTGCTGAATATCGACGTGCAGTTGGTCTTCTTCTGCGGCTGACTGAAATAGTAATATGTTTTAAGTCAACGCTAGAACCGAATAGTGTCTTTTGTCGTCACATAATTTGATCTAGTTATCATGTCACTTTGCATCAGCTTGCCTCGACAATGGCGCTCATGCGTTATGTATGAGTATTAAAAATGGAGATATTCGGATATTCGGGGATTTTATAATCTCACAAGTAATCTGACCTAATTTGAGTGAGTATCAGAAGATGGTTCATATAGGTTAAGGGTATGAACGGGCAAAAAAAACTTGATGAGCTGATCGGACAGATTATTGTCTGAGAATAGGGTACAAATTAAACATGGAAATTTGCGTATGAAAATAAACAAGTAATTAGTTCTGCTGAGAGAGTTATTTCGTGCGTTATTTCTTGATTTGAACTATAATTTGTATGTAATGCACGAGTGATTGTAATTTTTATGAATCCCCTGTGTCTATTGACTAGTCTGTGTCAATATTCATTTATTCAAATTGATCTTTCCAGCTCACAATTCTCTTTGGTTTCATTAGAGTACGATATATTGGACAAAAATAAATGGTTAAACTGTTAAGTAACATCTAGACGTATTCTTAGTTTGTGTAAGACCCCGAGCACAGCAGGATATAAAGATGGTAAAATGTTATTTAGGCTTAAAAATGATGTTCCCGGTTTTAAAATTACTTAGTTCAATTTTAAATCTTGCTTCACTAATAGCTTTGTCATTTGGACATTATAAAATAAGTATTTCAAATTATACGCTGTGAAAAATGTCAAAGCTTTGCCTTAACATCGGAGGAAGTAGCCCGACTAATGTACCCTTACCCTGCTCACCGATTCATTGAAATCCGGAATTGTACTTCCGTTAACTATCCGTTTTTTTATGCTTGTCTCTACATCAGATCTGAACACAACAGATCGCCACTTTCCCTGAAATACTGTTTGCTACTTTCTCTGTTCCACAATGGCTTGAACACAACAGAAACTAAACAGCAATAGCTCTGCCTCTCTTCTAGCCTCTTGATATCATGAAAGTTGTCCGGCCGATAACTGTCAAAATAGTTTCGGATACTGAAACTTGCTTACCTGAAATGTCTATTGTCATAGACCAAATAAAGCATGCCACTAATAAAAAGACCTTCATCGTTTCAATCGTTTCGTCTCCCGTCTTAAACTGGAGAATTGATAATACTCAAATAGAAATAAATTGTTATTACTATAGATAACACATTACTTTTCGTTGATGAACATAAATTAAAATTTGGTAATGTGGTATAATGATTGGGCATTAATGGTAGATTGTCAGAGCTTTTTCATGGGGCAATCCATTTCTTCTAGGGATGGGGCATATAAAAAAATGTATTTTGGAATTGTTTAGGGTGCCTGGTATGGGGCCCTAGAAATGACTTTTGCCCGCCCCCCCCCCACCATCACCCCCAGTTTCAAATGTCTTCTATTAGCGTATAGTGCTGTGAGATCCCTTGGTTCTTCTACCTAATGATTAATAGAAACACCACTGCTTCGCATGACTAATACTATTTACGGTTTGTTTATTATACATGTAACTGCTTCTCTTAGGGATGTTGATTGTCTACAATGCAAATGAAAAAGGATAATAGATTTATTTAGTTATTTATATGACTAGACAAGAATTCTCGGGACAATATTATTGTTAGAACGTTCAAATTGGAAAATATTTACTCTGTGAACCACAATGTCTGTAACTTTTTTTTATCTACATTGATGAAAAGTCTAGTATGGGAGATTTGTGCCAAACTGGAACTTCAAGGCCTCGGCGAGAAATAAAAATAGAGGCGAGCATTTCGTTTAAAAATGTGTCAACCTGGATAGTCATAAAGGTTTAAAACAATGGACTATTTTCTTGGTCTCTCTGGAGTGGTTCAAATGAACACAATGGCTTCTTAGTTCTTTGTTAGTTACCGCCCTTGACTAAAAACTAAAAGTGACATAGAAGCGCAGGACTTTAAATTGTAACTATCCCTATTTCAGAACGTAACCATTACAGGTTAGACAGTATTAGTTTGTGATTATGAATATTTGTGTTATTCAGGAGTAAGGTTAATTTATAAGTAAACAGCATCTTATACAATGAAGGGTATTTAATTACATCTTTGTAAACATAATTTATATACACGACCGTTTGGTACGTTTCAGTTAAGGTATATTTTCCAAGGCTCACAGCGCAATGTTTCTTTATTCAGATATGCAGGGGTGTAAGTAGAAAATGCCTGTTGGGTGGGGAGGGGGGTACAAGCTTCTCTCCGAGGTCTTCAAATAAGGCCTTCACAGGCAAGATGGGAGGGCCATGGCCCGATGATGCTCCCCCTGAATTGCCCTCTAAGTTCGTACACAAGAGTAGAAGAAACCGTGTATACCTAATTACTTATACAATGGTGTATCGAGGGGAGGGTGTTGATATTCTTATTTTCATTTCGATTTGATTAATTTAATATTCAGATTTCTGTACTAAAGTTACAATTCCATGGAGCAATTTTTAATCCCAAATACAGTATACTCTGCGTCATCCTACATACATTGCAAATTGGATTTTGGTTCTATGCCAAAGGGTACATTCAAACCTCAGTTGTCCTCATTATCTTTGGTACGGAATCGCTCTATTGGAATAGTTCAAAGACTAGAGTATGAATTGGGGTATATCTTAAAGTAATAAAGTAATAACAAAATTCTATTTATTTATTTAATTATATTCAACCACAAAAGATCTAATTGATAATTAATATCTCTTGCGGGATTCGGCGTAACCAATAACACAACAAGCTAGTCTTCTTCCAGAGTTACCATTCAGTCGGCTTTCTGCGTTACCGCCACGACCTAAGTCATCCCGTCCTGAATGCAACTGAGATGGACAAAACAATGTACATGCATATGACTAATAATGTCTCAAGCTCTTTCGCAAATCTGATCTGGGAATGCAGCATCAAGATTCGACATCTGATCCCGCCAGGACTACGCTAAAAATGGAAATTGTTCCACCAAAGCCTGTCAAGACGTCTTTTAACGTCTGCAGCCTACGGACCACTGTTTATTTTCCAATTCCAACGATTAGACTTTAACCTCTCCAACCTAAAGCACTGTCAGAGGTAAGCATACTTTAAACGTATCTATCTCGAATCTTTAGTGAGATGGGTCCATTTAAATTCAAAAACGACGATTACTTACAACCACAGCTCTTCCAACTATTTCTACTAATGATGTTTGTTCCACACGGAAATTTTCCTTAATATTACCCCTGCGGTCTGTCCGAACATTTCCCAAATCACCAAGATGTCTGGAATAATAAATGAGTAAAGTAACATTAAAACATTTATTTCATAGCAACACTTCAACAATGACTATAAAGTGATATTCTTCTACCAAGCAGAGTCTGTACCTCTCTCTGCAACATGATTTCTTGTCTTCCTGAGCAAGATTTCGTCGTAAATTGAATGAACGGCGCGTTTTATTTGAATTTCCGGACACACCATCCTGCTATGAAATGAAATTACGTTTTCCGCCGTACTTTTCCAGCACCTTATTTGGCCAACAGAGACGCAAATTCTTCATTCTAAAGGTGGTCCTTTGGCTACTTACAGGTGTACATTGACCATCAATCTGAATGGCCACACTTACCTTGGATTACCACGCCTATCGCCATGGTCTTTTCCAAGTGGGTTATAGTGAGGACCAGCTGCGAGACATTGTTTTCTTAAGTCACCAAATTGATGAACATGAAGACCATGAAATCGCCTTCGTCTGCCGTCATTATCATCTTTACCACCATTATCACCACGATCACGACCATCCCGATTATTATCACCATCACCATTCACACCCTTAAGTCGTACACGGACTTTTAATTCACTAGTTGGCGTGCAATCCCTATCCTGAATTACAGAGGATAAGAAAATTTCCAAGATAAACATTTTACATGATGACACATAGGAAGGCCCATCAGAAACACTTTACATAAAAAATAAACAAACGTCTTTCAAGATATTTTGTTGCTCGATAATTGCTTCTGCTAAAAAAGAGAATTTGAAAATGATATTCATGTTTTAACTATATGTTTGACAAAAACAAACATTTTTTTACTGATATACCAATTCACACTATAAGACTTGTTACCAACCACTTTTTGAGAAAAGTAAATGTTGCCTCTGACTCCACCATTATTATCATTACCATCTCTACGATCATCATTGCCGTCTCTACGATCATCATTACCATCATTATCTCGGCCTCTACGACTCACATTACGACCGCCTCTTATCGTCTCTATCGTCTCCTCTTTTATCATCGCCACCATCACCACCTCGGTCATCACCACGACCGTCATCGTCACCCCTTTGTTTCATGTAACAGGTGGCATAAACTGAAATCAAGATCACGGAATGGTGTGTGATGATAATTACTGGTTGATGTCGCTAGCAAGCAAGGCGTCAACATGCTCCTGGAACTCTTGATGCCACCATCACCATACACCCCCTTCCGAGAGTCCGTCTTGCTATTAGTTGTTGTTTAGTGTTACTCATCTTTAAATGTATATAGCACAACGCAAGTTTTGGATTATTTCTTTAAGTGTTATTAAGTGGGTAATTCTGGATTGTCTGGTCTTTATCGAGCCGAAGTTAAAAGAGTACTTACCAACACCAGATGAACATTCTGATTTATGGAATGGAAATGATTCTGGACGACTGTCTGGAATGCAATATGACAATAAAGCCTTACAAATTCTTTAAGTCAAGTCTAATGAATTCATTCCTTATTACTAGGATCAGATTGACACAACATATAACAAAGTACCTACTGTTGAATCCTATTATCAAGAACTTATTCTGTTACTAAATGTGACACACGATTATCGAGGGAGTCCGCTGATGCTCCTGACATCAAATGAGCTCTTGGCAAAATGCTATGCGACCAAATTTTCTCAAAGCAGAATTTTCTACCTCATCTTGTCACCCTGACCATAAAATTGCTTTTTTTTCATGTCTAAACATAACTGAAAATATCGAAGATTAACAGAAGAAAACTACCCATCCAATTAAGGGGATTGCAAAGAGCTGCCACTGACACACGTAAAAATGTAGGAAAACCTTTTCAATTCCTTTTGAATAATAGGGTATCTCCTTTTCCAATTTCTAAACATAGATCTACATCACCATAGACCTGTATATTAGGAGAATTCACTTACCTCAAAATGTATTAAAAGATAGCAAAAAGTTGCTTACCTGAAATGTCTACTATCAACGACAACATAAAGCATGTCACTAATAAAAAGACCTTCATCGTGGCCGTTTTCAGAAGACTTGTCATTTTTCGTTATTTTACCGGCATTTAAATGAGAAATAATTTGCCCCGAGGATTACAAATTCGCATTAAAAAGAAAAAAAATTTGCATCAATACATCAATTAAATTAGGCTGTGTACTGGGTATAATATGATATAAAAAAAAGTTTATAAAAAGGAACAACAAACATTGTATTGATGTCACAATGCCAAAAAACCCCCGAAAAAATCATGTGTTGTTGAAACCAACTTGTTCTGTTTCGTTTGAAGGAATTTCTATATATTATATTGCTTTGGTACATATGTGCTCATCGAGCTTAGTGCATAACTGTCTGCAGCAAATATATGACCCAAAAATATTGTAATGGTTTCAACCATTCGATGATAAATTTTAAAAAAGAATTTAGTCAAGTTTTTCTTCTTTGGAATACTGGCCCCCGTAAATAATAATATTAAGAATATCATTAAAGTTTCATATTATATTTTTTTTTAACTTCAGAACGACCAATAACACAGCAAACTAGTCTTGAAGCGGAGTTACCATTTCGTCGACTTTCTTCTTTAATGCCCGAACCCATGATCTAGTAACCCATCATCTGATTCAAGACCCATGATTTGTACAAAGACTTCCAAATCGCCAATTGGTACGCAGTAAGGATTCTGAAAGACATGGGTGTTAATTTGGACAATATTATTAATTATGACTTATTGGGTCTTGACTGTGGCATCATTCGTGACAAGAGGTACCTTTACAGTTACAAGTAAGGCTCTGACCAAAGTTGGGCTCAACCATGACTCGTGGCAGAAATTGTACCTTAACATCAATCGTGTACAGTTAGGACTCCGATTTTACTTGTAACAGTGGTTGTACTTTGATATACCTCTTGAGATATCACTCCTGACAGTAGCTGAACTTTAACATCACTAAGAGACATGATATCACCCAGAACCTGAGCACAACAGGATATAAAGATGGTTAAATGTTACTCTAGCCTCAGATCAGAGAATGTGCGCAAGCTTAAAAATGAGATTCCAGGTGTTAAAATTAGTCTTGAAATCTTGTTTCTCTATTATCATTTGACACTATGAAATATATTTCAATACATACGTTGCAAATTCCCTTATTGAATTAGCTTTTGTCATTGAAAAAGGTCAAAGTTTTGTCTGAACATCGGAGGAAGTAGCCCGATTAATCGAGCCTTACGCAGTTCCTCTGACGCGATATTCGGATAGGATACTGAAACTAGATAGGGCTACCGAGAAAGTTACTTAACTGAAACTTTTCACCGAAATCCGGAATATTACTAACGTTAACTTTCCGTATTTCCTGAAATACTGTGGTCGATTGTCAGAGCTTTTTCAAGGGAGAAATCCATTTCTTCTAGGGATGGTGCGTATAAAAATACGTATTTTGGAATTGTTGAGGGTGCCTGGTAAATGACTTTTGCCCGGCTCCCCCACCCCACCCCACCCCAGTCTTATATTAACGTATAGTGCTGAGAGACCCTCGTTTCCTCTACCTAATGATTAATAGAAACACCACTGCTTCGCATGACTAATACTATTTACGGTTTGTTTATTATACATGTAACTGCTTCTCTTAGGGATGTTGATTGTCTACAATGCAAATGAAAAAGGATAATAGATTTATTTAGTTATTTATATGACTAGACAAGAATTCTCGGGACAATATTATTGTTAGAACGTTCAAATTGGAAAATATTTACTCTGTGAACCACAATGTCTGTAACTTTTTTTTATCTACATTGATGAAAAGTCCAGTATGGGAGATTTGACAACCTGGATAGTCATAAGGGTTTGAAAAAATGGACTATTTTCTTGGTCTCTATTTAATTACATCTTTGTAAACATAATTTATATACACGACCGTTTGGTACGTTTCAGATAAGTTATATTTTCCAAGGCTCACAGCACAATGTTTCTTTATTTAGATAGGCAGGGGTGTAAGTAGAAAATGGCTGCTGAGTGAGGGGGTGGGGGGGGGGGGGGGGGTAAAAATGAGAGGTTCTCTCCGAGGTGAGGCGAATAGTCAACGGATTTCGGATGGTCTGAATTTTGAGCATTTGGAGGGTTAAATTTTCACCTCAAAAAAGACCCCTCACAGGAAAGATGGTAGGGCCATGGCTCGATGGTTTGTTTTCCAGATTTCTGTAGTAAAGTTACCATTTCATGGAGCAATTTTCGGGCCAGCAATGCAGATGTAAAATGAGAGGTTCTCTCCGAGGTGAGGCGAATAGTCAACGGATTTCGGATGGTCTGAATTTTGAGCATTTGGAGGGTTAAATTTTAATGAGAGGTTCTCTCCGAGGTGAGGCGAATAGTCAACGGATTTCGGATGGTCTGAATTTTGAGCATTTGGAGGGTTAAATTTTCACCTCAAAAAAGACCCCTCACAGGAAAGATGGTAGGGCCATGGCTCGATGGTTTGTTTTCCAGATTTCTGTAGTAAAGTTACCATTTCATGGAGCAATTTTCGGGCCAGCAATGCAGATGTAAATTTCGGCCTGTGTCAAACAATCGCCGAAATATAAACCCCAGATATGCCCTGAATCTTTGGCGCGTAATCTCAATATCCATAGTTCTAGACTAGAGTAATGAGTTATATCTTAATTTTATATTAATGTTATTTTATTCAACCACAAAGATCTAATTGATAATTATTATCACTTTCGTGAATCGGCGTAACCAATAACACAACAAGCTAGTCTTCTTCCTGCGTTCTTTCTTGAATGCAACTGAAATGGACAAAAAATATACATGCATATGAGTAATAGTGTTTCAAGCTTGTTCGAAAATCTGATCTCTTTAACCAAACAATTCAGAACTACGCTAAATAAGGAAATTGTTCCATCAAAGCCTGACAAAGCGTCTTTTAACGTCTACAGTCTGGAATAGGTCTACTCGTGTCACTGTTTATTCTCATTCAGTGTTTAACATCTCCGAAAGCACTGTCAGGGGTAAGCATACTTTAAACATATCTATCTCGAATCTTTAGTGAGATACATAACGGATCGCATTTAAATTCAAAAACGACGATTACTTACAACAACAGCTCTTCCAACTATTTCTACTAATGATGTTTGTTTCACACGGAAATTTTCTTGAATATTACCCCTGCGATTTGATCGGAAATTTCCCAGCTTGCGTAAGTGAGGACCAGCTGCAAGACATCGGTTTCTTAAGTCGCCAAATTTATGCACATGAAGACCAAGAAATCGCCTTCGTCTGCCGTCATCATCATCATCACCACCACCATTATCACCACGATCACGACCATCCCGATCATCATCATCACCACCATTCACACCCCTGAGTCGTACACGGACCTTTAATTCACTAGTTGGCCTGCAGTTGCTGTCCTGCATTATACAGAATAAGAAAATTTCCAAAATAAATCGATTTAAAATTTAACATTATGAGACTTATGAAGGTCCATCAGAAGCATTTTACATAAAAATGTCAATATGCCAAAAAATTTGGCCGATTGCTTCTGCTAAAAAAAGAATTTCAAAATGATATTCATGTTATAAGTATACAATCACAAACATATATTGACTGATATACCAATTCACACTTTAAGACTTGTTACCAACCACTTTTTGAGAAAAGTAAATGTTGCCTCTGACTCCACCATCATTATCATTACCATCTCTACGATCATCATTACCATCTCTACGATCATCATTGCCGTCTCTACGATCATCATTACCATCATTATCTCGGTCTCTACGACCACCTCTGTCATCGTCTCTATCGTCTCCTCTTCTATCATCGCCTCCATCACCACCTCGGTCATCACCACCATCGTCATCGCCACCCCTTTGTTTCATGTAACAGGTGGCATACACTGAAATTAAGATCACGGAATGGTGTGTCATGCATCATGTCCAAACCACACCCGCATTTATCATACTTCCTCGGGGCCGTGTTACTAATTTTTATACGCCCACATTATAATGTGGGCGTATATTGTCGTCACCCATGTCCGTCCGTCGGTCCGTCGGTCCGTCCGTCCGTCCGTCCGTCCGTCCGTCTGTCGGTCCGTCGGTCCGTCTGTCCACAATTGGCTTGTGAACGCGATAGAGACTACAGTTTTCATCTGATTGTTCATTTATATTGATGAGATCTTGGACAAGTTCGATATTCACGATTTTTCGATGAACGGTTTTTGAGCTATTGCCCTTGACTTAGCCAAAACGCGTCAAAATTTAAATGAAACTTGGTATGATCATTTATAATGATGAGATCTTAGTCAAGATTAAACTTGACAATTTTTCGATCAAAGGAATTTGAGTTATTGCCCATGACTTAGTAAAAACGCATCAAAATTTCTTAGCGTTAGAGGTGACAGTTTATGTCAGAATTTTATTAAATAATGTGCGTTTGTTTAAATCAACAATATCTTGCACAAATTAAATTTTTGGTATGATTTGACACAGATAGGTGACCGCCCTTGATATACTGAAAATGTGGGCTTATCTTGCTAGGCAACCACTTGTTAAATGTATATAGCACAACGCAAGTTTTGGATTATTTGTATAAGTGTTATAATAGAGGTAATTCTGGATTGTCTGGTCTTTATCGAACCGAACTTAAAAGAGTACTTACCAACACCAGATGAACATTCTGATTTAAGGAATGGAAATAATTCTGGACGACTGTCTGGAATGCAATATGATAAGACGTTATAAATTATTTAATTCACTTCCTTATTACTAGGATCAGATTGATACAACATATACCAAAGTACCAACTGTTGAGTCCTATTATCGAGGACTGTTTTTCAAGCGAGTCCGTTGATGCTCTTGGTAAAATGCTATGTGCCAAAATTTTTACAAAGTAGAATTTTCTACCACATTTTGTCATCCCTGACTATAGTATTGTGTTTTTTTTACATGTATAAGCATAACTGAAAATATCGAAGATTAACAGAAGAAAACTACCCATCCAATTAAGGGGATTGCAAAGAGGTGTCCCCGTAAAAATGTAGAAAACCTTTTCAATTCCTTTTGAATAATAGGGTATCTCCTTTTCCAATTTCTAAACATAGATCTACACAACCATAGACCTGTATATTAGGAGAATTCACTTACCTCAAAATGTATTAAAAGATAGCAAAAAGTTGCTTACCTGAAATGTCTACTATCAACGACAACATAAAGCATGTCACTAATAAAAAGACCTTCATCGTGGCCGTTTTCAGAAAACTTGTCATTTTTCGTTATTTTCCCGGCATTTAAATGAGAAATAATTTGCCCCGAGGATTACAAATTCGCATTAAAAAAAAAAAAAAATTTGCATCGATACATCAATTATATCAGGCTGTGTACTGGGTATAATATGATATAAAAAAAAGTTTATAAAAAGGAACAACAAACATTGTATTGATGTCACAATGCCAAAAAAAAAGTCATTTCAGCAAAATTGTAGTATTGAATTTAAAAAATCATGTGTTGTATAAACCGACCTGTTCTGTTTTGTTTGAAGGAATGTCTATATATGATATTGCTTTGGTACATATGTGCTCATCGGGCTTAGTGTATAACTGTCTGCAGCAATTATATGACCCAAAAATATTGTAATGGTTTCAACCGAATGGTCCTGAGCACCAAGAAACTACTTATGTACGAGTTATATTTTCACCGTTATTGAAAGTAATATGACCAATAATAGTTATATCCTCGCTCGAAGACCTAAATCGACGAAGGTTTCAAAATGACTCATTAAATATGACGTAAAACTCCAGTCATATCATTTCAAATTGAGTCATTATGTTGCTACAGTTGACAGTGATTTGCATCCATTTTATAATTACCATGTCTTTGGAACTTGATGGAGCCGCGGTGGCTCAGTGAGTTAGACGCTTGCTCGCTAACCTGAAGCTCCAGGGTTCAATCCCGGCATAGGTCGAGATAATACCTTCGGATTTTTCAATGTCAGTGATGCAGGTGAGAGGGGCTGACATGGAAAAAGCGTCTAGTCGTTCGGATGGGACAATAAACCGGGGCCCCGTGTGCTACAGGCTGTGCACGTTAAAGATCCCTCGACAGTTGGAAATCGAAAAAGAGGAGGCCGCTGTTCTGGAAAAATTAGCCTCGTTGCCCGTCTTCATTAGCCCACATGATGCATAAAAGTAGGACGTAAAACTCCATTCATTTCATTTTCATTTCATTTGGAACCTGACAAATGCTGATATCAGTTTCAAACGTTGGTTTTACCATGTTCTAGATCAGAATATATATAAGTGTCCTTTTTGGTGAAAATTGCAAATTTCGAACATTACACCGCGTAAGACTTCTGGCCAATTCCTTGATATTTTTTATTGATTATTGTTTCATGTTGTGTTTTTGCTGGAATACAATATATTTTCTTTTATATAGAAATTTCCAGACTATCACCCTTTAAGATGGATAGTAATCATCATCTGGTCACAAGCTGTTAAACATTATTTTTAAAGACGATTTAAATCACCTAATTATTGTAAGACAATCATTAAAAACCCTTAGGAACACTAATTGTCTGCGAATCAAGTAAAAAAGGAAAGCAGATTTATTTAAGCCTACTTAAGAAAGTCTCAAGATATTTGTTTCGGTCTATACTACTCTTGAAGGACATTTGTTTTTTTGCATCTTGGTTAATTTTGATCGATTTGAACATTATGTAATTACAATCATTCTTTATATAGACAAGTATATGGTTAAAACAAAGATCAATTGTATTTTAACTTTGATGAAAACGATTTTATTACTTTTTCACTAGATGACTGACGATATTTTTGGAATAAAAACTTCAATTTTTAGTAGTCTTCCTTACTTGAAATTGATCGATAAAAATGTAGGTACGTGTAGTACAATTGCTTCATTTTTTCATTCCTCTTTATATACCCCCACATTATAATGTCGCCCGTCCACAATTGACTTGTGAACACAATAGAGAATCTGATTTGAATGAAATTTATATTAATAAGATCTTGGACAAGTTCGACGATGTTTCGATGAACGGTTTTTGAGTTATTACCCTTGACTTATGAAAAATGCGTCAAAATTTGGTTGTGAACACAAGAGAGACTACAATTTTCATCCAATTTAAATGAAATTTGGTGTGAAGATTTATAATGATGAGATCTTGGACAAGTTCGAACTTTGCTATCTTTCGCTGAACGGTTTTTGAGTTATTGCCCTTGGCTTATGAAAAACGCGTCAAAATGTGTTTGTGAACACAATAGATACCACAATTCTCTTCCGATTTAAATGAAATTTAGTGTGATCAATTATAATGATGAGATCTTAGACAAGTTTGAATTTGACGATCTTTCGATGAGCGTTTTAAATTATTGCCCTTGTTTTTTGAAAAACGCGTCAAAATTTGTTTGTAGAGTAGAGAGTACAGTTTTCATCCAATTTAAATGAAATTTGGTATGATCATTTATAATGATGAGATCTTAGTCAAGATTGAATTTGGCAATTTTTCGATAAACGGAATTTGAGTTATTGCCTTTGACTCAAAATTTGTTGAGGTGACAGTTTATTTTTATTAAATAAATTAAATATTAAATAATGTGTGTTTGTTTAAATCAAAATATCTTGCAAAAATTAGATTTTTGGTATGATTTGACACAGATAGGTGACCGCCCTTGATATACTGAAAAATGTATCAGGAAAGTGGGCGTATCTTGTTAGGCAACCACTTGTTTCCATTTGTAGACAATTTATTTGAAAATGTCCTCGAATTATTCATGCGTGTAAATTCAATCTATATTTAATCCATATTATGCTATCTATAGTCAAACTGGGCGAAGATATCGTATTAATATGTTTTCTGGTATATAACAGGGTGATAATGGTCTGGTAAACGCAAGTGTAGTCCACAAATACATAGTACGAGTTCTTATTTTCATTTACAAATTATGAAATTTTATAGTGATTCAAATATTGATGATAAATGTATTCCTCTCGTTAGTTGATTTCGTTATGGCATGTCATTTTCTTACATTGATATTCGTCGTTGGGCTTTCCAACAACCGTACTCGCCAAAACCCTCTGGTTGTGCATTGCTTGGAAATTTCCTTGATTCATGTTCAGCTGAGTAAGTGGTTAAGCTTCCTTGATAGTTAGGAAAATCTGCTAGAAAATATGTAATATATCATCTATAAGCAAGTTTGTGCTTCTCGACCTTGACCGTTAGGAAACGCTGGTTGAAAATGTATGAACTATATTAGCAAGTTTGTGCTTCTCGACCTTGGCTAGTATAAGGAGTTTTACGGACGGGTGCCACGCTGAACAAGTCTTATAGTGATTAAGATGGGGGTGGGGGTAGTTTTTACTGATGAACAGAAGAATAGAAATATACTAACATGATTCATGTTCTGTTTTAATATTTGTATATTGCTCTACAATGATTGATGTATTGAACACTATTTTAACAGTGAAAATATTTTATTATTGTAGTAAAGATAAATGTAATATTTAAAATTATGAATCCTGAGTGTTAAGTTTTCACTGGACAATTTTTTAAAGAACCTTCATTACCGGAACTCGTAGTATATTCCTTACTCTCTTTTCGCTTTGTGCAGGCGAAAAGTCGCCGAACAGCACTGTTAATACAGTTGTTGCAGCGATAATATACAATTGGATTCATGATAGAATTGAAATACGCCCATAATTCACATATTCTCAGAATTCTATACAGATTTGGACCATCTAAGAGATTAAAAAACAAATAAATCACAAAGAAGGGTGTCCAACTGACCAAAAAACATGATAAAATTAGACCAATAGTTTTAGTGGCAGCTTTGTCGATTGACGTTATTTTTAGAGCATTTTTGTCCGTGAAATTATACGATCTTCTCTTGATTTCCTGATAAATTCGAACATACAAACCACAAATGATGAAGGTTGGAATATAAAAGCTTATGAGACTGGACATAATTCTGTATTTCATGTTGGTAAACCAGTTCGTTTCACAATATAGACACTCAACGTTGTCTTTTTCCATCAAATGACTCTTGCTGAAAATTACTGGAAAAGCAAGTACGGCTGGTATGATCCAAGATATTCCTATTAAAACATACATGACACTGGTGGGAATAGAACGATGGTATAACGGTTTGCATATAGCCAAAAAACGGTCTATACCCATCATAACAATATGAAATATAGACGAAGTGCAAAACATCACATCCAAAAAATACCCGGAGAGACACAAAATGTCCGTTAGGGTGACGGAAGGATTCCATAAAGTATACATATGGTGTGGAAGGGCAAAAATACCAACTGACATGTCCGCTACAGCCATCGAACCAACTAATCCAAAAATTATTCGAGTTTGTGTTTGTTCATGCTTTTTCCTTTTAAGTATTATTGCAGCTAATATGATGAAGTTACCACAAATCGCGCCTAATTCAATAACGGCTAGAAACATGGTCGTAAGAATTTTTTCTGTGTATCCGGTATAGTTAAAATTTGACACGTTATTCCCACAACTATTATTCTGCATCACTGTGATGTTACTTAAAGCCATTTTAGTTTACGTTTCAGTATCTTCCTTGATACCGTTAAATCAGGTAATAACTTAATCCGTGACAATGTCGTTCTTGATGTAAACAATCCACCAAACGCTTCTGTATATGTTCCAGAAGCAATTTATCCCCATTTGTCAGTTTTCTGTTAATTTTTTCAAACGAGACTAGTATATTTACTGCATTACGTCAAATTCTTCTGTACACATCTGTCAGATAATAAATGCAAGGGTGCCAATTCCTTCCTTTGAATCATCTGATTACGTTCAAGTTATACAGAAATACACTCCAATATGCTCGTATTTGTTAAAATATCTTGTTTACTCAAATTATAGAGTAATTTCATTGTATCCTGACAAGTTTATTAACACACTAAAGGTGACATACATTTTGAAGTCTATAAGTCATGTTCTGTGCAGGGTAATAGTTTTGTAATTGCATTCCCATTATTTATATATGACAATAGCCAACATAGTTTTCAATTCCATGCTTTAATAAGTCTAGAATTATAATCCTTTATGGAAAACGCCCATTACATATCCTTGGTACGTTGTTTCCAATTTCCATTCTTGAAATACAACAATTTGTTATTCTCACAATGCAACAATGTTTCTGACTTTAAATAACTGCAATACAACAATGTTCCAATTTTCAATTCCTTTAATGCAAAAATTTGTTATTCAA